GGTCATGTAGACACCAAGAGCAGCTGATTTATTTGTTTGGACATCAATCTGGTAACCAGCACCAACTAAAACTAAACCAATAAAGAACCCAACAATGTTCATACTCCATAATCTTCTACCTTTTTTAGTGATTGTAGCTGGAATTGTACCAATCAATAAACTACCACCACCAACTAATGACATAAAAACAGAATTTTTTTCAGAGAAACCAATTTGACCCATCAAAGTACTCATATAGTACATGATAGCATTAACACCTGTCAATTGGCCTAAAGTCACCATAATTGAAGCATATAATAAAGCTCTTCTATTTCTTGGAATCGCAAAAAGCTCGAACCAAGTTTTCAAAGTAGATTGTTCTTTTGCTCTTTCTTTCTCCTGAATAACAGCTTGACGTACTTCTAAAAACTCTAATTGATTCTCTTTGATATTAACATCTCTCAATCTTTTCCAAACCGCGTAAGCTTCACCCAATCTACCTTTGTGTGCCAAATATCTTGGTGATTCAGGTAAGAAGAAAAGACCAATTAACAAAGCAGTAGAGAAAACTAATGAAGAACCAACCATATATCTCCAACCTCCTGTGACTTCATAGAACATGGCTGCAATTGCATAACCCAATACTTCACCAAGGGCAATGTTCAATTGATACATTGAGACAATATTACCTCTAACATTAGCAGGAACACATTCAGAAATATAAATACCAACACAACCACCTTCAATACCAACACCAATACCTAACATAAAACGACCAGCATACATCATTTGATAATTCATAGCACCAGCGCATAACGCAGCACCAATTGTATACCAGATACAAGAAACAATAATTGACATTCTTCTACCTAAATATTCATTTAATGGTGTGATAATCATACTACCAGCCATGGCACCTAAAGGCATTAAACTTGAAACTAATGATGATTGACGACTTGTCAAGTCCAAAGCTGGTATCATTCCTATTCTAGCACCGCTAATAATAGATTGATCAACACCTGATAACAAACCAGCTGCTGCTGCAAAAATACCTAGTAAGTACACCATATGGTTTTTATTTTTAAAATGCAATTCAAATTCTAATGAACACATTCTAGCGAACCATGATCTATCAGCTTTATAGTTAGCAGCCAAAACTTCAATCTCTTCAATTTCTTGATCAAAGTTGAAGTTGGGATCTAATTGTAACCTATTGATTTTTTCATGAGTTGTGTCAAATTGAACATCTTGTTGTGATTTACTTTGAGCATCTGAATTAGTCAGAGAGTATTGACCATCTTCTGTCTTTTCAGTTAATATACCGTTCGTCATATTGAATCAGCTTGAAATCTGTTTTCCTATATTAATTTAAGAGAGGATCAGAAAAATCATCACCACATATTAAATATGAAATCATCCTTCTCTTTTATAGTGAGGGCTAGATTCTAGCTTCCAAGATATTTTAGCTCAACAACTTCTCATTTAGATGTGTTGGTTTGGAAGGGAATTATAATTTTCCATGTATGTCTAATTTCCATGGAAAAATGTCCCTGGATGAATCACTTAATTTCTCCTTAAATCTCACAAGTTTTTTCCAGGGTCCTTGAACCTTTGTCCAAATTCTCCATGTTCATGGAGAAATGATGATCCCCAGGTCTTGGGTATGGGGTTATGGGGATTCTAATTGTCTCGGCTGGAATGATCATACGTGTATTAACTTCTAATGGGAAGTTCTATCCTTGTACACCGGTGAGTGTACGTTGGTACATCTTTAAGCTATAAGACTAAATTTCATGTGATTTAGTGGTTGATCTTTGTTCCCCAGATTCCATCTAGTATACTGTACATGGATGTTCAACTGTTCAACTGGAGACTCGAGAGTTATATTATTATACTGGTTTCGCGTGAGTTTTTCCTGGGGATTTTTTGTCTTGCTTGAGAGTCAAGAAGTTTCATAATATTTTGATGCCACGCATTTCTAAAGTACTACTACGTAACTAGGATAATTATACATGATTATTTTCATTAATTAAAATTACACTATATATTTTTACCTTCTGGTTCTCTTTTCTCTGTTATAAGGCCCGAAATCCCTGTAGTTACCACCTTTGTCATATCTTCTATTGTTTTGATTTGGTCCTGATGATGGAGCTGGCGGTGGTGGTGGTGGTGGAACACGAGAGTTAGTTGATGATTGATTTGAACGGAAACGATTGAACTTCGGGGTATAAGAGCTGGGGGTAGATGCTTGGCGATATCCTTGATTATATTCACGTCTTTGTGAAGGTTGACTTGCAGGACCAGAAGGTGGTTTAACACCCCATTTATCAGCTGGGCGACTAGTATTTCCTGTAATTGCTTCTTGAGGTGGCAATGGTCTTCTTTGTGGTCTTGAAGGTAACTCCATTTTGAAGTGAGCGGTAGTTACTTCTGTCTTATTGATATTCTTTTGAAAGTTGGTAACATGAATAGAAGATGGACCAGCTATTTTTTTAGCATAATCAACAATTAAAGCTTTAAACTCAGCACCAAAATCTTTAGAGTTTTTAGTCAGTGAATCAAGATCACGAACAACTTCACGATCATCTATAAATGATTTCAATCTTTTAAAGTCACCATCAATAATAGCAAATTTGATTGACTTCAATTTATTTTCAATTTCATCATTTGACAGAGTACCCACTGTCACATCCTTAAATCTTCTCTTCAATCTATTATCTGGGCGTTCAGCTGGTGATGAAGGAATAGATGGTTTGGAGTTTGGTATATAAGTATCGACTCTTTTTGTACCTGATCCACTTTCAGTTCCTTCAGGTTTCTTTTGATCTTCAGTTTTAGCTTTATCTTTATCTTCATCCTCTTTAACGTCCGGTTCTTTTGACTTGACTTTTTTATCTTCATGATTTTCAGTTTTTTCTTTCTTAACACTGACTTCTTCATCCTTTTTTTCTTTACCAGATTCAACAGGCTCGGATTTTGCAGGTACAGACTGTTTTCCATTATCAGTAGCTTTCAGTGGTTCAGATTTTTCCTTTTTGTTTTCTAATTCAATATCTTCATCGTCTTTCTTATCAAAATCATCCATTATTGAATCACCTTCTTCATCTCTTGAATCTTCAAATCTAGGACGCAGGCGAATATCTGAATTTGTATCAGCATCACTAGTACGACTATCAGAACGGCTTTCTGGACGACTTTCAAGTCTGCTTTCTGGTCTGCTTTCTGGACGACTAGCAGCACGTTTGGCCAACTCAGCTTCGCGTTCTTGTTTTTGCTTTTGGATCTCGGCTCTTTTAGCTTCTTGTTTTCTTTCTTCTTGTTGGTGTCTCAGTAATTCTTTTTTCTCAATAGCTTTAATCTTTTCAGCCTCTTCAAATTCATAAAATTCCCAAGCATGAATCCATTTTTTGGAACGTGATTTTATATGAGCTAAAATAGCGTCTGAGGCTAATTTTAAATCTTGTCTTTCTTCTTTATTAGAAACCTTTTCAATACTTTTAACGACACTTTCACCATGACCTTCAACAACTGGATAAACTGTAATCAAGTTCTTTAATAATGTGAAAACATTTCTGCGTGACATGTAGTTTTCACTTTCAATATTGAGCTTAATGCTAAACAGAACTTGTTGTTGCCAGTTGAATATAAGCTTCTTGGTATCGTTATCAGCATCTTCTTCATTTCTCAATTTTTCATAATGGCCCAAGACTTCAGCAAGGAAAAAACCTAAATTTTCCGATTCCAATGGTGTAATTGTGTAGATCAAAGTATCCAAGAAGTCAGAATCAAATAAAACTGAAACAAGTTTTTTACTAACATCTGTAGTGAACAATTTTGTTAAAAATTTACCTGTGAAAATAGCATCTGATTCTGAATGAAGAGCACGAGGTATTATACAAGTTTGGAAAAATTTTTGCATTTCCTCAACTGTCGGATCTTCTTTGACTTTGAACCAATCAGCTGCTAATGAATTGACATCTTCCAATACCTTTTCAGTGTGAGCCTTATGTTTTTCTTCATCAACTGGAATCTGAGACAAAATTTGTTCGAAAAACTCACGTTCTTTTCTCAGTTTAATTTCTTTATCTCTAACTTCAGCAGTGTATAACTCCTTTTTGGCATGAGCCAGTTTCTCTTTAACAGAATTAATGGAATCTGTAAATCTTTGGTTTTCATGGGCATATAAACTTTGATCATAATTTATATCATAGAGTGATAAAGTCCAGAATGCAGTGTATAATGATGGTGATAAGTGTGGTAGCTTCAAATCTGCAAGACCAGCAGCTTCGGGTTTCTTGATATCTAAATGAGATCTCCAAAGTTCGAAAACCCAAGGTATATCAATACCAAATTTCTTGATTAAGTCTTCAGCACTGGTAATATTTTCTTTAAATACTTCAGGTTTTGATCTTAGAAAGTATTTAATCAATTCAATATAGGTATGTAATACTGAGACAATTTCATCATTTTGATTTGACAAAACTTTAAAATGTGCATCTTCACCACTGTCTTCAATCAATTTCTTTTGAAAGTCAAAAAGCAAAATCAATGACTCCGATAAAAATCCAGATTTGATCAATGAGTTTAATAATCTTAACGCTGGAAGTGTACATTCATCTCTTGTGTCAAAAATGACCTTGTTGATACTTTTTTGTAAACTTTCCCCAGAATTTGAAAGCTGAATTTGAGTGGCTGATAAGTTGGAACGTTGTTGAATACCACCCATTTGATTAACAATTTCTCTCAAGATAGTAAGACCAATAGTATTATTGGCATGTAAACCTTTGATGATATAGGTCAAGATTGGCGTGAGGTCCATTGAGGCATAGGTTTTGGCAAGTTTTGCAATAAATGTGGATAAAGATTGAAGCCATTGTGCATCATTCAAACCATCTGATTGAACGAATTGTCTTCTTGTAGTCAATCTCATTAACAACACAAATGGTAAAACATCCCAAGCATAATCAGTAAAGAAACGAGCAGCATCAACAATTAAATCACTAAAGTTGTCATAACTTTCAACTTGTGTTACAATAACTAAGAATGAAGGTAATGGATTGGCAAAAGCAATTTTGGAGAATTTTCTCATCATTGATTTGACATTTTCAGTTGTGATTCTCTTTAGTGCATCCTTTGTTTGCTTTTCAGCTTTAGAATAGTTCAGTCTAACAACATCATTATTTTTAGAGATAACATTAACAAGCTCACCATATAGATTATACCTCCATTGGATTGGAAATTTGCTCATTAACTCAAATGCATCAGATGTTGTAACAGAATTTTCCACGACGACGGATGTGGCTGGAAATATGTATTTTCTGAAATATTCAAACCAATCATTTAATTTCTCTTCATAGTTTTCTTGATCTTTGGATTGCTCTAGGTCATAAACACCAAACCTTGAAAGTAAAGAGATGAACTCAGGATCTTCACCAATTTTGGCACCAGCAAGTGATAAAAATTCTGATGAGATTTTGAATAAATCTTCAAATGTGTTTGATATTGGAATCTTTTCTGACCATTCTCTATAAAAGAAAATGAATCTTTTGTTTGTATGATTTTGGTGTAATACTTTAAAAATCTCAACATCTTGGTATACAAATTCTTCAAATGACACATTTCCTGTTCTTCTAACAAATGCAGTACTCTTTTGTGATTTTAATTCCTTGAGCTCATCATTTGTTAAAACTGAAATTCTCTGTTTCAAAGGGGACACAATTTCTTTGAAAAGTCTTAACATTATTGGTACTATATCCTTTTCAGCGTGTACTAAGAAAGGATATTTTGTTAAAATATAAACACTAGGCCAATATAAACCAACAGATAAAAACGATTTCAACATCTGTAATTTTTGATTCAAAGTTTTAGCATCAGGGATATTTGCTTTTCTATTGTCCTTTCTAGCTGAGGCAGTAGACTTGGAAGCTGTCCCATTTTCATCTTCATCGTCAACTAATGGACCACTTAAGGCTAGTGCATTTGCAGAAGCTTTTAAAATCTCATCATCGATAGCTTTTGCAATTTCATCACCAAATTTTGACATTGTTTCCTCGTCTGGGCCAATATATTTGTAGACAGAACCAAACGATATGAATCCCTCTTTTATAAGAATACCAACAACAAATTTCATGGTCTCAGGTAAATCTTTTAGCTTTGTAACATAATCTTTGAATTTTAGCCCAATCAAGAATGCTGCTTCTTGGTTACCACCTTTATTCAAGCCTTCTAAAGTTGTACAGTCAGCTTCGTTGTTAACTGGCCACCATTGAGATGATTTCAATAACTCCAAGCAAAATCTATAATTTATAATGATATTATGAATAAAGAGATCCAATAATATATCAAGTACTTTAGTTGGATCTAGATTGTAATGACCGATGAATCTTTCAATAATATTATTTGCATATGTAACTTGAAAATTTGCATCCTCTGATTTTATCACTTCATAAAGAAATGCAATTAATTTTGAATAACCTTCGGAAGCTTCATGTAACAAATTGAATTTCTTTTGTTCGACGAAGTTGTTAATGATATAGTCTTTATTGTGTTTTGAATACTCATTGATCATGTTCAGTTTCTTTACCAAGTTATCATCACCTAAATATCTACCCATTTCTCTTGAAGGTAATTTATGGAATTTCTTGATCAAAGTTAACAAATTCTCATCGACTTTGAAAGTATTGAATATTGATATGAATTTGAAAAACAGAGTTTGTGCTTCTCTCAGTTCAGCAGTAGCATTTAGTATAGCTGACAGTTTATCTATTGGTAATCTTTCTTCATGATACTTCGCGCTGTAAATAACTTCATAAAATAATGCTTCAGCTCGATCAAAATCTGAGTAAATATCACCTGCTAGCTTACCAATGTTGGCGTCAATATCAGCAACATATTCATCTGTGAGAATTTGCCATTGGAACTGTGGTTTAGACAATGAGTTCAACAAATCAAGTCTCTTGTCATAAAGCACCTCTTCCTGAACAACGTTGGTTTGAGCATCTACCATCGCAACGTCACCATCTGCCGCCGCTGTATTTGCTGTAGACATTTTCTAAGTGGTTTCTTTTCAGCAACAAACAAGAATTTATGCTGGCTTTTGAACTTGATTGGAACAGATTTTATGGAGATTTGTTTATACAAAACTCGACTTTTAATGATATTTCGCTGTGTTTTTGTTGAAGAAAATTTTGGAAACGGCCACTCCATCATACAATTTTTTCGATCTTCTTTGAGATTTTATGCTTTATTGCAATATTTATGTAGAGGAAAACGAATAGCAAAAAACGTTAAATTTTAATAAAAATGGTAAGTACCTAAGAAAAGTCTGATTATTTGAGGAGTGTTTATTAACGATTTTATTTTTCAGGCTGATAAAATTAGAGAACAACAAGTTTATGACCAATTGAAAAGTCGTCACATTGGGTTAGGTGATGCTGATACAACTAAACACGAATGGATGACAAATGTACATAGAGATACATATGCTTCAACCATTGGACATCCAGCTTTGCTTGAATATTTATCATTGGCACAAGATAAACCAAAAATACAATTGAAAGAAGAACTTTTAATGAAGATGGTTAGACCATGTGGACCAATCCCAAAATCAGAACAATAGTGAATATTATTTCGACTACAAAAGTACAATATAATTATTAAATTTGTTAAAAAAAATTAATTTGTTGAATCATATACATGTGTTTTAGAATATAAGGATAAGGATTGTCACCAGGGGTTATCTTTTGCTCTTTTTTTTGTGTGTTTTTTTAATTTTGGTCTTGCTTTCAAGTTTTCACTAGATACAAGCTATATCAATTAATTAATAACTTAGTTATTAACCAAAGGAGCATTTTCTGCGTCTGTTGAGTTATCGGTACGATCACCTTCTTTCAATTCAGCACTCAATACTGCAACTGAGAATAAGAATAACAAACCAGCAATAATGAATGCAAAGATCCATTGAAGAGCAAAAACTTTAGTAAACAATTGACCCAAACCTAAAGCCAATTGTAAAGCTGCAGAACTCAAACCAATAGCCCAATCACGATAAATGATCAATGCAAAACTAGGAACCAATAAGAAATCCCAAATAAAGACATTTGCAACAATACGAGCAGCAAGACTATTTGATCCAACAACAACAGCACCATTCCAGAAAATTATATATAATAACCAACTAAAAGGTAAAGCAGCTGTTGAAAAATGAATTAAAGTATAGTTTCTTAAATTCTTGATTGAATAAGTTTTATGAGCAACGTATAAAGTTAAAATATTGAAGAAATTTAAAATTGCAAATAATTCTGACCAAATATAATGACCATTAACAAACAACAATGTCCAAACAAATTGTAGAATGTTGAAAACAGTGAAATGCCATCCGACACTATCAGCAACTTGTAAACGAGTTGGTTGACCCCCTTGTAAAATATTACCTAATGTTTCACTACCAGTTCTTTCAGTTGGTTGATCTTCTGGGAAGAAATATTGAGCAACAAAACTAATTTGTAAGATATGTAAGAAAGCCCAATATATAAAGACAACTAAAATGTTACCAGTAAATGGAGTAAATTATCCAACTCTAAAAAATGGATCATCTTCAGGGTTTTTCTCAACAGGTGATCTACCCAAGGCATATTTAAAATTCCCATAAATTGCTAAAACCAATGCAATTGTGGTGGTGACCTTGTGTGTAAGTAATGAACCTGAACTCATTGTTTATATATATTCAATTCTGTTTAACAATAAGTATATTGTTATTCCATTAAACCTCTATTGTTGTAAAGTTTTTAAAAATTGATGCAACCTCGTGCTGTTTTATACTAAAATTAAATTTTCCTTATGTGTCATGTCATATTATATGGAGATTGCTACTCAGAGCCAAATCGAGACAAATGCAGTGATTTAGACAAAAAATTACGCGAGAGGCATTGGATCTTATTAACAAACAAACTTAATAAGTAGATCAAACATATCGTGTGATTGTTATTGTGCTCAAATTGAGTTGATTAGTTCAATTCATCTTGCAACCTTTAAGAGTTCAAACGTTCAAACTTAAAGCATGCAATTTTTTGGTTTCTAGGTTCATCTGAGCGAATCATGTATGTGCAAAATTTAACGTTACGAGGGATTTCTCCACGTTGGAAACACGATCCTTAATTTTCCTAAACTATAATGAAAACAGTAAAGTATTACAATAGGAATAATCACATTCTATAGATGCATCATATATTACAATATTCATTCCATTTTTAACAGTATTATGGATGGTGAGTTTGACAAGCTCCTTTAATTTTTTGATTTATAAACTCTTGGTCCATTATTATGATTAACTTGAGTAGGAATCTCACTTTCATTTGATATTTCAGTTCTTAATTTACGACCATCAGCTAAAGCACCATTTAATTGAATATGAGCAGTTTCTAAAATAGATTCTGAACTAAATGCAACTTCTGCCATTGAAGAACCAGATTCTAAATCATTAATTCTAATTAACTTAGTTTTACCTATTGATTCTAAAACTGTTCTCAGATCATTTATACTTGTACCATATTCCAAGTTTTTAATCTTTAAGAATTTTGGATTTGATGCATTTTTAATTTTTAAAATAGTTGGATTCCGTATTTGATTTGATGATTTTTTATTCTTTTTGGGTAGTTCTTTAGTGATTTTATTTTGCTTTTTCAATCTTGATGATTGTAACGCTTGTGTTTGTTTTGAAATAGATGCTGCAGTAAATTTAACTTTAGATGATGGACCTTTTGGTCTATTTTGTTTGGAATCAACAATTCGTATTCTTTGGGCTAATGGATTATCAAGTATACTTGAGTTATTATTCTTTGATTGACCATTATGAACTTTCTGTAACGCATCAATACGAGCTAATAATGGATTTATTGGTTCTTTTTTATTAGTTTTCTTATTATTACCTTTAATTGATCCACCATTTGATTTATTTACTTTGGTTTTCTTTGGAGCAGCAACAGCACCTAATCTTTGAGCTAATTCATTACCACCATTCACAGAGTTCTTCTTGTTTGACTTTTTGACAGCCATATCTTTAAATAATCTTCAATTTTGACACCAAAACCCATCAAAATTTAATCAAAGATTCAAATCAATTTTACGTACGTACTCAAAAAGTCAAATTTCGAATCTTTTTCAGAATCAAAAATTCGCGGATTCCTAATCGGGAAGTATGCAAAATGGCGAGAAAGTCGCAAAGAAAATACCTGCAAAAAACCTCCATTTTGGTGCATTGACTTCCAGATGCGGTAATCCCATACAAACATTTCACCACCAGATCAAAACATTTCAAGTAGCTTGATGAACAGAACTAGGGAACAAACAGTAACAAAATATGTTACCAAAGAGTGATCATACGCAACGTGAAAATAGAATAGTCCTAGTTATCACGGATTACCACGCTACCCAATAAACCTTAAGTTTTACCTGACTTTACTTTGTAATTCGAATTCAAAGTCGTTTTTTGCGACACGTCTTTTATTTTTATTAAATTCTGCAGCGATTTTTTACCAAAAATTTCCCTTTTAAATAAATTTTCGCCATTTAACATTCTGAAAACAAAACAAAAAAACGACAACACATTGAGAATTATACAAGACATAAACATTTCCAAATTACCAATTAAATTCCCGATCAATATTAAATTCCTAATAAGAAATCAACTTTGAATTTACAAAGATCATAGTTATTAATTTCAAATAGTTTGGTACATCCTTTACAAATCCTCAAAGTTTAATCATCAAGATATAAATTCATTAGAAAATCAAAACAAATAATATTCCGTCTTTCGTTGATTATACTATAACTTGAATAAAAAATATAAACAAATTTTATATTCAAGATACAAAAATTATAGACACTAATCTGTACTATAAATCATCAATTTTAAAAACTCCAAAAAAACATTCAAACAATTGTATTATAAAATTGTTCATATAATTCAAGAATTATAATTTTGCATATCTAATTTTAATACCCATAACTTATTCATAATTCATAATGCCTTTATGTGGAAGTTCAAAAAAGCCAATTCAACGTAAAATTGTTATTTTAGGTGATGGTGCTGCAGGTAAGACTTCATTATTAAATGTTTTCACAAGAGGTTATTTCCCACAAGTTTATGAACCAACAGTTTTTGAAAATTATGTTCATGATATATTTGTTGATGGTAAACCAATTAAATTATCATTATGGGATACTGCTGGTCAAGAAGAATTTGATCGTTTAAGATCTTTAAGTTATTCAGATACACATACCATAATGTTATGTTTTTCAATTGATTCAAAAGATTCTTTAGAAAATGTACAGAATAAATGGGTTGGAGAAATTACTGATCATTGTGAAGGTGTTAAATTAGTTTTAGTTGCATTAAAATGTGATTTAAGAAATGATGATGGTGATGATGATGAAGGTGAAGTTTCAAGAAGATCAAATTTAATAACTTATGAAGAAGGTTTAGAAATGGCAAAAAAAATTGGTGCATTAAGGTATTTAGAATGTAGTGCTAAAAAAAATAGAGGTGTTAATGAAGCATTTACTGAAGCTGCTAGATGTGCTTTAACTGCTAAACCAAAAGGTGCAAATGATGATGAAGATCAAGAAGGTGGATCTTGTACAATTATGTGAATTTTGTTCAATATGTTTTCGTTGTTGTCTTTGTTGTCTCTGTGTGTTTTTATTGTGCTTGTGTGTGTTTTTTCTTTTAGATAATAAGTTGTATTGATTTATATCAAGTGGTTTTTTATTTCTATTCATTTTTTTGAAGATTTTTTGTTAAATTTATATATATACAGACTCTTTTTTACAATTTACATGAAAATAACTATAATCTTAAAGATAATATGAACGTATATACTTGACAATTGAATATGTATGTTCTATGATACTTTATTCCTTTTAAATATTGACTTTTAATCCAAGAACTTATAATATATACGATTTCGTTTGATCTAAAATTGATTGTATTCTCATCATATCAACTACATCAATTGGTGTTAGTTAAATCAGCATTAAAACGTGAATATATTACTAAATATATATATATTGGTAAACGAAATATAATATGCATAAAGATTAAATCAATATTACTTTTACTTTCACTATCAAAAAACAATTATTTTTTGCTTGGCCCCTAATATCTTCTTTTTTATCAAAATGATTGTCATACTCTTATTCATCTTCCTTTTCAAAAAATCAATCTTCAAACATAGATTCAAGATAAGCACTTGGAATTGTTCTTTGTGCTCTATTAGCACCTCTATGAGGACTTCTATTTGGAGTAGAACTACTAGTTTCACTTGGATCATAACTATTTTGCCTTGTATGTCTTAAATCTGGTAATGAACCAATAATTGAACTATTTTCTCTTGTATGACTATAACTAATTGAAGGAGCTGGACCACCTTGATTTGCTCCTAAAAATCTTGAATTTTTATTATAATTCATAACTTCAGCAGTTGGAGAAATAAACATTGATTTTCTTTTATTTTGTTCAGTATCTAAAGTTGAAAATAAATTTTGTTCATTTGTCATACTTGTATCTGGAATATTATCAACTGAACCAATTTTAGTTTGATCATATAACAGTGGTATTTTAACAGCAGATTGATTTTGTTGAGTATTATAAAAACCTCCATTATTATTATTATTTGAATATTTTTCTGAACCTGAACCACCAAAACTTGAAGAAGATTCATTATCAATAAACAGTGTCTTTTTAGCATATTTCTTGGCCATTAATTTTTTAATAAATATTAAAGTCATAAAACTTAAGAATATAAATCCAGCAATTGCACCAACCGCTATGAAAACAGTACCTGATGGAACAGATGATTTCCATATATTTGGATTATCATCAGCTGAAGGTGGTGTTATAGTTGGAGTTGAGATTTGTGAAGATGAACTTGTTGATAATGTTGGTAATCCAGTACTTTTTGAACTAGATTTGGAACTACTACCAGCTTTAGTAGTAACGGAGGGTAGATCACTACTTGTCATTATAACTTTTTGATAATATTGATGATGAGAATTAAGCGAGCGGTAACTTGAAACAATATGAAATTTAAACCAAATTTGACGAATAAATAACTGGGATCTATGATATAACTGATCCTTGAACTTTCCTGAAGTGATTCAACCAAATAATCCTATGTTTTTGAGAAAAAAATGAATCTGTTTCTTTGTAAAATGAGTTAATTTATGTTTGTTTCAAGATCCTAAAAATTCCATTTAAATTTCTGATCAGCCTTCTCAGTTTTTTTTTTGTTTTTATTTTTTTAAATTTCTGTTCCAAAAATTGAACATTTTTGTTTATTTCGCGAATGATTTGTTGTTTACTTTTCGTGGTGCGAACCGGGATTTCAATAGTATAGCCTTTAATAAGCCTTGAAAAGAATTTAGAATTAAGTCTTCACTACAAATGAAATCAATAGAATTAAATGTTCATTAGCAGATGCTATTTGGGTATTCTGATGTATATCACTGACATATGGGAATCTTAAAGGACCTCCAGGGCCCAATAAATAGGCATCCAAACTAGTAGATTTTGATATCAGATATTATATTGATAATTCTGCATGTAATCAATCTAGCATAATTTAAACCTGTATGTTATATAACATAAAGTTCACACGTTCAATACATCTAATTGATAATCTTATGATAAGTGTCTTCTTTAGTATAAATCAAATCTAAACCACAAACTTCTTTTCTAACATCTTTGAATAATTTATGAACAGATTCCCATTTTTCACCAGCACTACAATCAGGAGTTTTATGTTTTGGTTTAACAATTCCATCTTTTTGAAAATCTGGATGTTTTTCACAACGAGTTCTAAAACCCATATATTCTGCATCAAGACGTTGTTCAAACCATGGTTTTGGAATAGGAGCATCACTAAAATGTAAATATTTAATCTTATTGAAAAAATCTTCACCAGGTCTATCTAAATGTTTTGTATCATAATAAGCTGGTTCTCTATTTGAAGTTTGTAATAATTTATGTGCAAATATTTGTTCAAATGAATCAGCTAAATAAGAATGATGATCAACTTGTGAATTAATTTCTGGTGTTATAGTACCATAAATTTGATGAGGTAAAATCATAAATTCAGGAATTTCATCAATAACAGATTGGAAATTTGAATGATAATAATTAAATGAATTTTTTGATTGTTTTTGAAGAATTTTTGGTAATGAAAATAAATGATTTTGAACTAATTCCATATCATATTCATTTTTACGTTTATTTTCAATTGCATTTAATACTTTTGTAAATAAATCTTTGGAAGGTTGAATAACCATAACTATATTTGTTAATTCAAATTCATCAATTGTAATATAATTTGGTAATGCATTATATAATTGATTTTGGAAATTTTTAGAATTAACAACTTGTTTTAATGAATCCTGTGATGTGGGGATTTTATGATTTGAATCTTTATAAATATTAACATGTTCATCTAATAATTTTTGAATTTTATAATCTCTTTGAGGTTTAGTTAATGGTCTCCAATTCTTATAATTTTCCAACTTATATTTATTCTTCTTATTATCATCACGAGCCATTTTTTCATATTTAATTTTTGTCATCCAATAAGCAGTTGGTACAGCTAATTTACATGGTGGTATGAAAAATAATTCATCCATATTACCTCTAAGAATAATAGCATCAGCATCTAAATAAATAATACGATCATATTGAGTTTCATTGAAAACCATTAATTTTGTAAAACTTGATTTCCAAATATCAACAGAATCACCACCAATTTGTGTAACAGTTGTTGGTTTTAAAGTAACATTATAATTTTGGGAAAATTCAGTTAAAGTTTTATATTCATTAGGATATGCAGTTTCATTCAAGATAAATTCTCTTTTAACCAAAAGTACTAATTCAGCTTTTGTTTGAAATTTTCTTAATTCAGCAAAAATCATCATTGAATTACATAAATGTGATGAAGAAGTTGCATAAAGAACATAAGCTAATTTAGACCAATCCACTTGATTTAAATCAGTATTATTATAAATAGAATCAATAACTTCTGGATAAAGATATTTTATATGATCACGATCATAATCTAAATATTCTAAATTTGATTCTGAATATTTAATAGTGGAAATTTCAGTTTTATTAATTTGTTTTATATGATCAAGAACATTATTATGTGGGTTAAGTTGAGTATTGAAAACATTATTAAGTATTGAATAATCACCATAATTTATTCCATTTGATGATGATGATGAAGTAAATAAATATATAAAAGTTATTGAAATGAATAAAGCTAATATAAGTTTATTTAATCTTCTTGGATGTGATAGTTTTTTAAAACTAGATTCACTCATACTTCTTATCCTCTGTAGTTTAGAATCCATTTGGAAGAACATGTAATGTATGAGTTGATGTTAAATATGCAGAACTTGATGTTGTTGAATATATGAATGAATGAATATGAGAATATTTGACCAGGTATATGTATAGAATATGAATCTATTTTCAAAATGTGGACATTGATGAATTAGCTTTATTTGTTTATAGTCTAAAGACAAAAAAATTAAATTTCTAAAAGTAAATCACGTTAAAATGCATTTTGAAATATTTGTCATGAATGAAAATTATACTTCAAATACCTTATTTTGTAATTACCTAAATTTCTAAAGATGGTTAATTAAAAATTGAATATCACTGTGATCAGGCTGTGGTTATGCAAAATTTTGGCAGTACACTCGAGATTCAGGTACCATGATCTACATAGTTGCTAAAAACCATAAACATCTATACATATAACAATTGTTACAAGAGTTAACAAGCTAGTAATACTTAATAGAGAATACCTTGTAGTGTATACCATTTCCAGGGTTTTGGTTTATGGTTAAAATTAATGCACTTTTTCAAATTTAGCTTTAAATAGAAATAGAAATGCGGACTAATAATTTTTTTGGCGTAAATTAATTTTTTTCAAAGGGAAACGGACATTCAAAAATTTGAATGCCATCTGGGGACCAGGCGCCAGAGAACCTATTTAACTAGAAGACAATTAACTAGAAGGACAATAGGAGCTGAAGGGGTTCGTAGTGGACAATGGAACTATATCTATTTAGTTGTGTATTTGTGTATTTGTATTTGTTGTTTATTAGATTGTGAAAATAGTGGTGAAGAATCGTTATAATCATCGTTAACTTTAAAGTTTAAAGTGACACGTTTTCTAAATTAATCAAGTCTGGATTCTGGACAGTAGGAGAATAAACCATTAACTACTAACTACCACAAGTACATACTACAGATCATCACTTGATAGACAACTGTTTAAACACTTTCTATAGACATAACTCAGACATATCCTCAAAAAGGTATTATCTTTCATTCACGTGGACCGCGTACCACTTTTATTTGGTTTACTAGTTAACAAATTCTCATTCAACATTTTAAGCCCTCATTTTAAACTTTTTGATGTTCGATGGAATTCTGAAAAAAGCAATGGTTATGGGGCCACTGGTAATCACTTGTATAAAAGATTACATAATTTCTTTGGTAATCGAATATTAAATTCAAATTCGCGACGTAGTGGTATATAATTTTGACCCAAGCTTAGTTTTATTATGAGAACTATAGAACTACTACATCACCACCACATCAAAGATCAAAATTATGACTGTTTATGTTCCTCCTTTAAATTTTTCACTTGTGGAAGATGGTATATATAGATCAGGACATCCAGTACCCATAAATTTCCCATTTTTACAAACTTTAAATTTGAAAACTGTTATTTATTTAGGTGATAAAACTGATAATTTTGAATATTATAAATTTTTAAAATCAATGAATATAAATTTTGTTTATATTCATATGGAATCATCAAGTGAACCTTTTATAATGAATGATCCTGATGCTATTATCCAGGCATTAAAATTGATTATAAATATTGAAAATTATCCAATTTTAATTCATTCAAATAAAGGTAAACATAGAATTGGTGTATTAGTGGGTATAATGAGAAAATTATTACAAGGTTGGTCAATGACTGGTATTTTCAATGAATATGATAAATTTGCAGGTGGGAAAGGTGATTCTGATATTGAATTTATTGAAGTTTTCCAAACTGAATTAGAAGGTAGTTTACAAAAATTACCAAGTTTTGTTAGATTAGATCATTAAAATTCATTAAAGTATTATGTTATATATATTGGGCATTAGGAGTTTATTGGGAAGTTGATTTGTGTTTATGATTTAATAATTTTTTTTTAAAATTATTTAAAAATTCTAATTCTTCATTAGTTAATGATAATTCATTTGGTAAATTAATTTCATTTGTAGTTATTTCAATTTTATCTTCGTTATTTCTTAAAATTCCATCAATATTATTCCCGGCCGGTATTAATGTTTGACCAGATTTTTCAGGTGTTATAGAAGGTTGAACACTAGTACTATTTTCAACTTGTTTTTCTTCATCTTTTGGTTTAGGTTTAATATATGAAGTCCACCAAAATAATGGATATTTTCTAAATATATTATTTGTAATACAAGCCACACAAACCATTAATACAGAACTTATTAAATGAGCAGGTAAATACCACCAACCCATACTTTTAATCCCTTCATCAACTAATGGCATTAATGCACTTGCACCACTTGGTGGATGAACACAATTAAATAAACTCATAACAACACTTGCAATACCAACACTTAAAGCACCACCAATATAAAAATGATCTTGACCCCCAGAGCTTAAATTGAAAAGTTTTGATAATATAACACCAACTAATCCACTTAAAAAATGACCCATTATAATATTTCTTGGTTGTGATAATGGTGCACCATTTGCATTAAATAATAAAATTGCTGAAGCTCCATATGATGCTATGATTATAGGTGAATTATGTTGTTTGAAAACACTGGAATGTTTAAAGACACCTTCTATTAATAAAATTGATATAAAAGATCCAATTAAAACATCTAGGTATAATATCCATGATGAATTTAATGAATTAAGTCCCTTATGTTTCCCAAATAATCTTTGTAATGGTTTAGGAAAATGAGGTATTATTGATCTTGGATAATAAGGATTAAGATATTGATCTATACTTAATGGGAATGGCATTTTGTAATGTAGTTATATATGATCAACAAAAAATCATAGTAGACTTCAATGTGATAAGTATGTTCAATTCCTCTTCTTTTAAATATTTATGTCAACCGACTTTTATGTACCGATAATTTGAGAAATCTGAGTCCGCGGGAATTCAAATTATATGGGAGATCGGAGTCAAATATGGTCATGTGATATTGGAGGAAACAGAGTCAGCTTTGGGAATCTATATATAAAAGTTCATTTTACTACTATGAAAAAGTTGGGCTCTAATCAAATGGGCTCTAATCAAATACTTGAAGGGAAAGTACTATGGCTAGTCATATTGTATAAACTATGATTTCTAATCCAGTTATTCCCTCATGTGCTACCGATCTGCTAGAAATGACCTCTTCAAAGGGGGATTTATAACCTCAGAGGGCATCGAAGTGGAAGATAATTTATATATAGTATTTGGATGTGAATATGCTACAAAACTGTCTTCAACAAATTATAAACTATGAAACTATGCCTATATTTAATTTATGATACAAGTAGAATATTATACAAATTCAAAAAAATGCTATATATAAACTTTTTTTTTTCTGTTCTTGAAGACGTAATCAATTGGAAACATCAGCACTATCTTCTTCATCTTTACTAATTGCCTTTTCCTTTTCTAAAGCTTCTCTATTCAATAAAGATAATTGACTTAATGCATAACTACGACCTCTCCAAGCTGGTACTTCAAATAATTGATCTGTAACTTCTAATGGAACACCTTTAGTCTCTGGGAAGAAACAATAAATTATAATTGGTGCCACGGTCATACATCCTGCAAATAAGAAATAAACTCCATAATCCATAGCTTCAAACATATTACCTGTAAATCTTGCAAAAATAAATGCCCATAACCAATTACTTGCTGCGTTTATACCACTAACTAATGATCTAACATCTTGATCAAATAATTCTGAACAATAAACCCAACATGTACCATTAAATGTAGCACCATATGCAAATGTCCAAATATAAAACATTGCTAATGCAGCTTTACCAGCTGAATCTAATTGAGTTTGACCAGAACTTAATTTTGAAGCAGGATCTGTAATTTTAATAAATGCACCTAAATAATACATTGTTATAGCACATGGAATACAACCATAGAAAAACGCTGCACGACGTCCCCAATTATCAACAATTATAGCTAACCAAAATATAGATGCAAGTAATTTAATAACACCAAATAATCCAGTTGATAATAATTTAGCATCTGAACCTGAAAGTCCAATACTTTTGAAAACTGTAACTGAATAATAAGTAACTGCATTAATACCTGCAGAATTTTGTAAAATGAATGTTGAAGTTGATAAAAATAATCTTTTTAAATATTTTGGTGAAGTTACAACTGATTTAATTTGTTGGAAAATTCCTTCACCATATTTTAATTTTTTAAAATCTCTTTTTTCTTCCATAATACTTAATTCATATTGAACAAATTCATGATCAATTGATAAATTTGTAATATAAGCTAATTTCTCTTCAGCTTTTGATCTTTTATATTTACTAATTAACCATCTTGGACTTTCTGGTAAAAAGAAAATTCCAATCCAAAAAATTGCACTTGGAATAATTTGAACAGCAAATGGAACCATCCATTGACGTTTTGGATCTTTAATATGTTGACTAACACCAAGATTAATCCAATAACCAATTAATCCACCAATTTGCCATTGAAATTCCCAAATCCCTGTTAAAATACCACGAATAGCTGGAGGACTAATTTCTGAAACATACATTGGTGTAATACCTGAACAAAATCCAACACCAAGACCTGTTATAACTCTACCAGCATAAATTGCATGTAATCCAGTACTTTCATTTGAAGCTAAAGAAATTGCACCACCAAAAGTTAATAAAAACCCTGAAATAAATAATGCAATTTTTCTACCTAATTTTTCACCAGTTGGATATGCCATAAATGCACCAAAAAATGCACCAACATGGAAAACACTAATAACATTTGATACAACATAAGTAGCATAAGAACTTGACATGTCATTAATACCAAATTCATCGCGGAAAGAGTCTAGAGAACATGTACCACCAATGAACCCAGTATCATAACCTGCGATTTGTGAACCAAATGATGCTAAAAATGCAAATAAATATGTTCTAAAATTATAAATTTCATTAGGAATTGGTATTTTGGATTCAACTTCTGCTTTTTGAAATAATTTTAATTTTTTGAAAACTTTTGACATTCTGAAGCTGTTCTTTATATCTTCATTTATATTATAATATGATAAGTTTTGTATTTGATTTTTGAAAGATCTGAAGTTCTTCCCCTTATACACTTAAAGGGTGTATTTTGTTGAAAATTTTTAAAAGAAAAGGTCTCTTGTAGCTATTCTAAAGTTGTAAAGTTGATGGAAATGACTGTGAACTATGAGGAATGTCTATAGGAAGTTATAGGTAGTAATGAGTATTATTTGGGTATCTCTTATTGTTGTTGAACTATATCCTCAAACTTCAAGTTGTTGTGCTTTGTAAAATTGTAACAGTAATTTCTCGAGACTTGAAAAATTTTGTACATCGAAAAAAATTAAAAATTCTGGGGAAATAAAAACCCGTGCAGATGTTACACTGATTAAAAAAATTGAAGAACTGAAAAAGAGACGATGAATTTGAGGAAAATGAAGAGTTCATAGAGTGGGTGGACACTGGGAACACTTGCCTAGTTTACTTGTGTGTTTTTCCTGTGCAAGTAATTAATGAGTTCTATATACTATTTTGTTTACTATGTGTGACTCATTAATGATAGATCGGTGGTTATATACCGCAAATTCCCACAAAGTTGAAGGACCCTAGGTATATTTGACTCGATAAGTAAAGATATTTGACCAGTTTTAGTAACAGCACTCTCTTTGTCACTCATATACCCGATTCAGACCACCATTGATCTTTGAATTCTGGATAGCTGCTTGTATCCATAATATAAATCTCCTTATAAACCCGCGTTAATTATGACAGATTTTTCGATGACTAACATTAAAGTTTCTCGAGAGTAATGATATAAAGATAACGAAACCTTTCATTTGATAAACTTCTTTGATCTTGACTCCATTTCAACTGAAATCAAAGATGTCCTCATTCAACTTAGACACACTAGTTAGACCAAACATCTTGACATTGGAACCATACCGTTGTGCAAGAGACGATTTTAAAGAAGGTATCTTATTAGATGCTAATGAAAATGCATATGGTCCATCTTTAACAGATTTATCACAATATGAATCAACTTTAGAATTAAATCGTTATCCAGATCCTCATCAATTAGAATTGAAACAAAAGATTGTTGATTTTAGAAATGGTGAAAATAAATATGAAATCTCAAAAAATGAACAAATCACTCCTGAGAATTTATGTCTTGGTGTTGGATCTGATGAAAGTATAGATGCTCTTATAAGAACTGTTTGTGTCCCAGGGAAGGATAAATTACTTATTGCACCTCCAACTTATGGGATGTATTCAATTTCTTCTACTATTAATGATGTTGAAATTGTTAAAGTTCCATTAGATTTTGAAAAATTTCAAATTCAACCAGATTTAATTAATGAAATTTTATCAAAAGATTCATCAATTAAATTAGTTTATATTACAACACCAGGTAATCCAACTGGTGCATCTGTTGATTTTTCATTGATTGAAAAAGTTTTATCAAATCCAAATTGGAATGGTCTTGTCGTTGCTGATGAAGCTTATGTTGATTTTGCTCCAATTGGTTCTTCTTTATCAACATTAGTGGAAAAATACCCAAATTTAGTTGTTTTACAAACTGTATCAAAGTCTTTTGGTCTAGCTGGTATTAGATTAGGTATTACTTTTGCTAATAAGAGATTATCTTCAATTTTAAATGCTTTGAAAGCTCCTTACAACATTTCTTCATTAACTTCAGATATTGCTTCAAGATCATTATCTCCAGAAGGTATAAAATTAATGAGACAACGTGTTGAAATTTTAAATTCTGAAAGATCGAGATTATGGGAATCATTACAAAAATTTAAAAATATTGGTAAATTAATTGGTGGATTAGATGCAAATTTCCTTTTAATTGAAGTTATTGATGAAAATGGTAAACCAAGTTCTCCATTAGCTAAACAATTTTATGAAAAATTAGCTACAACTAAAGGTGTTGTGGTTAGATATAGAGGTGGTGAACCAGGTTGTTCAGGTGGTTTAAGAATCACTGTTGGTACCAAGGAAGAAAACGATGCTCTTTCAGAAAGATTTCAAGTCGTTGCTAAAGAATTATAGATATAAAGCGCTAATTAATATAGATGTTAATCAATAAAGAAAAACACTTACAGGTCTAAGGTTTACATAGATACAGATTTACATCATAACAAATAAAACGTATAATTATTCATGAAGTGTATTATTTACTAAATAACTCCCCATTATAAGTTTACCACAACAGTTTTAACAGGTCTAGATTGTAAAGCTTCACCTAATGCTTGTTTAGCTTCCATTTTTTTATTCAAATCTTCAATTCTAAGTTTTGTTAAACCTTTATTTCCCAAAATATCTTGTTTAAATGATTCATCTTTACCATCATGTAATTTTTCAAGTATTTTTGCATGATTAATATTCAAATTTGCAATTTGTTCAGTTAATTCTCTAGTTTCTTTAGAATAATCTCTTGTTATTGAATTAATGTGATTAATAATAGATTGTAATGCATCTGGTGTTGGTGGTTCATTATAGAAAACATTTGTTGAAGTTTTCAAAGATAAAATTTTAGATTCACTTGCTCTTAAATCTTGTAATACTTGTGCATGGTTTTTTCTAATTTTATCTTGTAATATTAAAACATCAATTGGTAAATCACGAGCATTTAAAACAGCTTTATCTGATAATTTTGTTAATGATAAAACTTTTTCTCTGACTCTTATGCTTTGTTTTTCTAATAAATCAAGTTTATCTTGAACTAATTTGATTTGTTTTTCTTCAGCTATAATTGATTCTTTTGTCTTTGAAGCATCTTGACCATATTTACTTATGATTTTACTTAAATTAGCAGCTTCTGATAATCTCCAATGATGTGGTTGTGATAATGATGCCTCTGTATTGACCAAATCTGATTTTAAATGATCATCTAAAAATTTCCCAAGATTCGTACAATTACTTTCAATTATTGAAATTTCAGCTTGAGTATCATAATAAATCTTTTCCAGTTGTCTAAAGATTGGATCTTGACTTAAAGTTGGATATTTGACTGATAATAAACGTTCATAATTTGGTACTTCAGATGGAATGAAATGAGAGCCGAAATAAATTTCATCATCCTCAAATGATTGTAATGCAATTGATTCAAATTTAACATCGTCAGTTTGTACATCAATTTCTGAAGTTTCAACTGTAGCAGATACACCGATTTCTTTTGTAACAACTTCAGCACTAACTGATTTATGTACATATGGAGGTCTTTCTGATTGAACTGCCTTTTCTTGTGATGATGTATTGATGGTTTCCTCTTGATCTTTCTGAGATTGTGCTTCTTTATAAAGAACTTCATCTTCTTTGTCTTTGTATGAATCTAATGATGATGAGTCTCTAGTATCTTCTTCTCTGACATTTTCAAATTCATGATCGTCATGTTCTTCATCGTTCTTAGTTTCTTCATCTTCTTCATCAATGTTCAAATTCTTGTCAATCTCATCACCTAGCTCATCAGCAGAAAGATCTTCACTTTCATTGTTATCTTCTGATTCAAAATCTCTAGTGTCATCTTGTTGTTGAGTAGTATCTTCTTCGTCTTCGTCATCTTCTTCTTCTTCATCTTCGTCATCATCATCATCTTCTTCTTCTTCTTCATCGTCAAATTTATGGAATTGATCTTCTGTAGCACCTTCTGTATATCCTTCATCATAAGTGGTTTCTGGTGCTTCTGAGTCTTCTGCTTCGGCATCATCATCTTCTTCTTCACCATTTTCTTCACTTTTTACTTCTTCTGGTGTCTCTTCTTCAGCTTTTGAATCTTGTGGTGGTAGAACTTCAGTTTCCTTCTTTTCAGTAGATGATGTTTCTTTTTCAAAGACGTTCTTTTGTTTACTCAAATCTTCTAGTTTATTTTGTGAAGCAAATTGTCCAAACCCACCGAACACTGGTTTTTCAACTTTGTCTTCAGATTTATTTGATGTTGGTTTTTGAGGTTGTTGGCCAAATTTGAATCCAGATGAGCCAAATGCTGTTGAGCCAAAACCTGTAGATCCAAATGTGGTTGATCCAAATGAGGTTGGTCCTGTGGATCCGAATGATGTTGGTCCAGTAGAGCCACCAAAACTAGTTGGGCCTTTTGATGTTGTAGGTTGATTAATAGGTTTGTCACTTTCATCATCTGAATCTTCAATTTTTGATTCTTCTAATTCTGAATCTTCACTATCGTCGTCTTCTGAATCTGATAACCCTGGAACTTTGGTTTTAGGTGCTGATGATTGTGATTCACTACCAAACAAAGATCCACCAAGATCTCCTGATAGTGTATTTAAAGATGACTTATCTTGTTTTGTATCTTTTTGACTTTCATTTAGTGATGATTGAGCAGTTTCTTTGGAAGCTTTGCTAAATATAGATGAAGTTTCATTTGTTCCAAAAGGTTGTGCGCTATCAAATGGGGATTTTGTTTCAGTTTTGTTTGTACCAAACTTTGCAAACGGTGATTCATCATCACTCAACTTCTTACCAAATGGTGAATCTTCAATTTTACCGCCAAATGCTGGTTTAGAACTAACGGTGGTGAATGGTGATCCAAAGGCTGGTTTAGCGGCTGGTTTATCTGGACTTTTACCAAATCCAGCAGTTCCTGAGGCAGGTGATGCAAATGGTGCAGGATTAGGATTTTTAGAAGGTGTTTGGCCAAATAATGATGATCCAGACGATGATTCCTTACTATCAGCAGAAGATTGGCCTGAAGTTGATGATCCAAATGCTGATTTATTGGCAGTAGACGATTGTCCAAATGTTGTTGATCCAAAAGCTGGTTTTTCATCCTTAGATGTTTGACTGGCTCCTAAATCACCAAATGGTGATTGAGAGTTACCGCTGTTTTGACCAAAAGTTGATGATCCAAAAGCAGGATTAGATGTTTGACCAGAACCTAAAGCACCAAATGGTGATTGAGCATTGGTATTAGATTGACCAAATGTGGATGATCCAAAGGATGAAGAGCCAAATGCTGGTTTGTTATCAGTTGCTGATGATCCAAAAGAGGACGATCCAAAACCACTTGATCCGAATGATGGTTTGCCATCTGTTGATGACTTACCAAATGAGCTTTGTCCAAATCCACTGGATCCAAATGCTGGTTTGTTTGCTGTTGATTGACCAAATGAGCTTGATCCAAATCCAGTAGATCCAAATGCTGGTTTATTTTCTGAAGTCGTTTGACCAAAGCTTGATGATCCAAATGCTGGCTTGCTATCAGTTGAAGTTTGACCAAATCCTGAAGACCCAAATCCACTAGATCCGAATGCTGATTTTGATTGTCCAAATCCTGAAGATCCAAATGCTGGTTTATCATCTTTTTGGTCATTATTCCCAAATGAAGCAAATGGTGATTTATTATCTGTAGCGGTTTGACCTAAACCTGAAGTACCAAACGGTGATTTATTATCTGTAGTAGTTTGACCAACCCCTGAAGTACCAAATAGTGATTTATTATCTGATTGTGGTTGGTTAAATGATGCAAATGGTGATTTATTATCTGTAGTTGTAGATGTATTACCACTATTGAAACTAGCAAATGGAGATGTAGATTGTGGTTGAGATGAGCCAAATCCTGATGGCTTAGTTTCTGTATGTGTGGAAGCTGTACTTGGTACAGTTGAAGAAGCAGGAATGCCATCTAATGCAGTTTTATATAATGAATCTTCATAGTCTTTGACACCATCTTGTTTAAAAGTACCATTTTTCAAATCATGAACGTGGTAAATATACCAACCTTGAACTTTACCGTCATTACCTAAAACCCAAACAGCTGGAAGCCAATTAGCTTCTGAAACACCTTGACATGGCTCTTCAATTCTACCAGTGTCACTAATATCTGTAATTAAACCAATTGCATTGATATCGTTACCTGTATTATCATCAATTGGTAAAGCAGCTCTTGCAGCATCACTTTCTGGTAATATCACTTCTGAATACAGTAGAGCAGAGATTTCCACAGAGGTTGATGAAGCGACAATTGTTAATAAATTCATTGAGCCAGATAAATTATGGAATGATGATGAATAAATTGTAGGTTTTCTTAAAATTGACCCAAAAGCTGGAATTAAATCAAAATTCTCTTCAAATGATGTTTCACCTGTTGATTTTTCATGTGTTAATACAAAAGCTTTGAACTCATATGAAGGATCTTCTTCATCTTCATTTGGAATTTCACCAAATATAACTAAAAATCTGAAAGGAGCAATCCATTGTAACGAAATTGGTAATATACCATCTTCCTTCAAGTCTTCAGGTCTATCAATTGTAAGTTTGACTTCACCGCTTGTAGTTATTTGTTTAATGAATCCATCTTTTGTGGCAATAGCAATTTGTTTACCCTTTGGTGACCAACTAAAATAAACAACTTCTCTAAAAATAACATTTTTTGATCCTGTTGTGATATCAAGTATTGATAATTCACCATCAGTTCCTAGTATGGCAACTAATGAGCTATTTAGTGGTGATACTATAGCTAGATCAATTGATGAAGTTCCAATATCTATTGATTTAAAATCGTTAGAACTCAATGATTTATAATCTGATATAGGGGCATAATGAACAGCTTGTGGAGTTATAACAATGAATTGTTTTTCATCTTTTGTGAAAGAAGTGCTTATAACATTTTGAAATTCAATTTCATGACGATTTGTATTATATTTAGATTCTTCATTAATTACATCTTGTTTTAAATCTTTAATTGAACCTAGAATGATTTTATCTTTACCAGATGCAGCAAACCACCCATGTTGTGGTGCACTTGTGAAATTATTTATATGACTGAATGGTAATTTTTCTTCATAATCTGTAATCAATTGAATTGGTGAACCTAATGATTTGAATCCAAAATCCTATATATGTTTAAATTAGTATAAAGATCATTAACTTATTCTGAATAATTTCAAATACATACCTCACTAGAAGTTGATATGAATTCATCACCAAGTTTACTCATAATGCTGATATGGGATCAATGAATTTCCAAATATTCAATTTATGGATCCAACAAGTTTTATTCGTCTAATTTATGACTTCACTTTTATTGTTTTGATCTAAAGCATATTATAATTTTTGGCCATCTCCCAAAATATCCGGGTAAATATTAAAATTCGCGAAAATTATAATTCTTAAGAAAATTTCGTGTGCGAAACAAAAACCGAACGTTTAAATAAAATGAATATAAAGTTTTAAAGTACAAAACAAAGCAGATCTAAAGTCAATTGTTGAGTCTATTGATATTTTGAAATGAAAAAACTACAATTGAAGTGTATAACATTATATATAGTTGTAAAATTATTATTTATATATCATATAGCGTTCATCTGAAAAAGCATTAAATCATAAAAAGTACCAGGGATCTCGATCGAAAATCTTCAAAATCTCCTCAATCACACCCTAAATCAATTAGAATATTTATACGATTAAAGAAAATTATTGAAAACTTCAAGAGATCAAAACCACAATGCACTTATAATTTTATTAAGCTTAAGCAGAGAATGATAATGACCAACCTAATTTATGGACTGGTTCAGCTAATTTCAAAGCATCGAAAGAAGCACCTAAACCTAATTTAACACCTGGTCTTAAAACTTGTTGGTAAGATAAAGCAGCAACACCTGAATCAGCAATTTTAGCTTTAACGAAAGCAGAGTTGTCTAAAACGTATTTGGTGGCGAATTCAATACCAACGGCTTTACCAGCAGCAGCATCAGCTTTTGAATCCCAAGTAGCTTTAGCACCAGCTTCAACTAATGGAGAAACTTTGTGGTAGTAAGCAGCTGAGAAAACTGATAAGTTGTTGGTAGCTGAAACTGAAACGTTGTAAACTGGTTGAGCGTAACCAACAGCAGCTGAGTAACGAGTAACTTTAGCGGAAGAGATATCGTAACCAACTTCGGCACCAGCGGTGAAACCATCATGACCAACGGTAGCATCACCAACAAAAGTTGGACCTTTTAATAAATCAAAGAAAGCTCTGGCAGTAACTGATGGTTGGTTGAAGAAAACGTTTAATTTAGCACCTCTTGAACCATTTGGAACTAATGAAGTTAATAATTCAGTTTTTAAACCTGGAGTTAAAGCTTCAGCTAATTCAATTTTAGTATCTAAAGCATTAGCGGTGTTCCAACCTTGAGTTAAAGTTAAACCTGAAGCTTTGTCGGAAACTTTAGCTTCTAAGTTACCAGCGATTGAACCATCTTTTGATGATTTACCTTTAACGGTGAAAGCAACACCATTTGGAGCGGTAGTTTGGATATCAATAGCAGCTGGAGCTAAATGAAAGAAATCTTTGTTTAATAAACCGTTTTGGTTTTTTGAGATATCAGAGAAGACAGGTGGAGCCACTATAAAAAAAAGATGAATGTTAGTCAATTGAGTCCTAAGAACATGATGGTATGAGGCATGACTTACTTTTGAATGAATATTAGTGTGTTTTGAGACGACAAGTTCGTTGTAAACAGGTGTTTAGAAGGAGAAAGAAAACAAAGATTCAGGATTTTTTGACTTTTTGGTTTTTTGTTATGTTGGATCTCGGACGGCCAACAAAAACAAAAAAATCGCAATTTGCACGTGAAGCTCACATTGGCTGACACTTTCAGAATTTAGTGGGAAATGGACGAATTAGGGAGGAACTGAAGGAGTCCTCGATAATATTTAGTGGGAGTCATAGGGGGGTTCAATTGGGTGAGCTCATTACTGCTCACTTTCTTGACTTTGTTTGTTGGTTGTTGTAGAGGATGAATGGAATTGTACGTGTTTCTATTGGACAGTAGGTGCCAAAAAGCACGTTATGTTCTTTCAAATTCCCAGTGTACAATTTACTGAGTTGATGTCTATATGTCAGATCCACAACGTGTGTGATTTGTTTAATTTTGGTGACAAAAGCTGGATCCCACACTTTTCAAATGTGCGTATTTGGGGATTTGGTTTGGAACTTGGGGAATTAATTACATATACGCAACTAGCTAGGCTACATTCTATCAATTCATAAAACCATATTATTCACAAATAAAAAGAAATCGTAACATAAATATAACCAGATATTCATACAGTGTCAACTTATTCGACTTGTCTGTTGATTTTAACTCTAACAGCTTTAGTTTGAGTGTAGTTATCTAAAGCTTCTGAACCCATTTCTCTACCAATACCAGATTCTTTGTAACCACCAAATGGAACTGCTGCATTGAAATCATTATAAGTGTTAACCCAGATAATACCAGCTTCTAATCTTTGTGAAACATCTAAGGCTCTGTCTAATGATTTGGTGTGGATACCGGCACCTAAACCATATTCTGAATCATTAGCTCTTTGGACTAAATCATCAATAGTTTTGAATTTAGAAACAGTGGCAACTGGACCAAAGATTTCTTCTCTCAAGACAGTGAAATCATCACCAACTTCTGTAAAGATGGTTGGTTGTAAGAAATAACCTTTAGTACCAATTCTTTCACCACCAGTTAAAACTTTAGCACCTTGGTCTTTACCCTTTTTAATGTAATCTAAAACTTCTTGGAATTGATCTGGGGTAGTTTGAGCACCTTGATAGTTTGATTCATCAAATGGATCACCAACTTTTAATGTTTCAACTTCTGCTTTCAAAGCTGGAATTAATTCATCATAAATACCTTCTTGAATATAAATTCTTGAACCTGCACAACAAACTTCACCACCGTTAAAGAAAATACCAGTAATTAAGTTTTTAACAGTTGTCTTGATATCAGCATCATCGAAAACAATATTTGGTGATTTACCACCTAATTCTAAAGTAACTTTTTTCAAGTTTGATTCAGCAGCAGCAATCATAACTGATCTACCAATAGCAGTAGAACCAGTGAATGCAATCTTCTTAATCTTTGGATGTCTTAAGATAGCATCACCACATTTTCTACCAGAACCTGGCACAATGTTGATAACACCAGCTGGGATACCAGCTTCAATAGCTAAAGTGGAAGCATACAAAGCAGATAATGGAGTAGCAGAAGCTGGTTTTAAAATAACAGTGTTACCAGTAACTAAAGCTGGACCGATTTTCCAAGCCCACATCATTAATGGGAAATTCCATGGAATAATTTGACCACAAACACCTAATGGTTCTTTTTTAGTATAGTTGAAATAACCATCACCAGTATTAATTGATCTACCATCAATTTTATCAGCAAAACCAGCTGATGATCTAATATAATTGATAACTAATTTAACATCAGCTCTTGAACAGTGTAAAGCTTTACCGTTATCTAATGATTCAATTGAAGCTAATAATTCAGCATCTCTTTCTAATAATTCAGCTAACTTATATAGAGCTTGACCTCTGATTTGTGGTTCTAAAACTGACCATTTTTTGAAAGCAGCAGAAGCAGCTTCAACAGCAACTTCGACATCTTCTTTATCAGCTTCGTGTAAGTCAGCAATTAATTCTTCAGTCGAAGGATTGGTAACTTTGAAAGTTTTACCAGATTTTGATGGAACTAATTCATTATTGATGAATAAACCAGTTGGTTGTGTATATGTGATGTTGTTTGGTAATTTAATTTCAATTGAAGTTGGAGCTGTCATTTTGTATATATAGCTATTTGAGTTCTGTTATCCAGTAACAAGTTTCTCTTGCAATATTAAAAGAAAATTCATCTTTGAAAGATTTGAATTAAAATCTGGGGAATTGGATATCCTTTTATACTCGAATGAATTTGAAATCTTAACAACTCAACAATAATTCAATCATCGATCCTATGACCGAATAGTTTGGTAACGTTCCCTTAAATCCTCCGTCAATTAGTAACCAGGGACAATTCTAGGACTCAGATTTATAATCTTTGTATGTAGTCTCGGGTAATTTTGGAATTTGTTGAGTTGATGGATATTTGGAATTTTTCTCAAGCATGTCGGTGAAAAGCCAATTTTTTTTTGCCCACTACGGTTTTAAGGTTCAGCCTTAGTAGGACAAGTATGGGGTATAGTAGATCTGCACAAACCTCATCAATTCTCGAGACTTTTAGTGCTGGGAGGAAGGAATTTGGAGGTTTTGAAGATGATAATAGAGAGGTAATGGGACTGGTTTGAACTTTGAAGGGTGTATAATATATTTGAGGTCTAATAATGCCTTTGAACCCAGTTTAGAGCTGTTAATTGAAAGGGTCTTTGGGGAGATTGATCAAGGTTTGTAGATTGAAGATGATCAGTGGAAAAGTTCATCTGCGAATCATTGTCGAGAAATTAGTGGAAGATACTTCTTCAACAACTGATCAGATAGGGCGGAATATAATCTATATCATAATCATAACTATATATATGATCTGAGACTACTAATTGTTAGTCTTAGAATTGAAAATGTACACCTCAATTAAACCAACATTTCGTTAAAGTGCTATAAGATATTAAAAGTATGAGTATGCCAACTTGGCATTGATTGTAGAATCTGCTAGTAGTGGAGTCTTAACGAGTTGCAAACGCCGATATATCAATTACCTGACTTACAAGCTTACAAGCTAATTGTGGATACGTACTCAACTACTACCAACCTTCTACCAGATGTCGATACACTCGTTCTAGCTACGTTCTCCCGGAGTGATTTGGATCAATAGCCTCGAGAATTCCGCTTAGTGATAGATGAATCTTATTGGCCGCTACCCCATATTTGACTAATTTATTAAACGTTCAGCCTTTCGAAGAGCAACATTTACTGGTGTAAACTCCATAGATCATCCTGGATATGATTCAATATTTTTGTTTCTTATTCCCGGAGCTAGATGAATCAACGTTATACAATTTTATTTCAAAAGCCCATTTATCCCGGATGAGATCATACGGAGACCTGATCAAAGAAGTACTACACAAGATCTTTAAATAAGAAGGAATCCGATTGTAGGACTCCATTTGATAACTCTTGTATATATTGTGCTTAAAGACTGATTGAATATAGTATTCTTCCTCTTATATCAAAGTTTGATCGAGATTAATTTGTTTCTAATATCCGGTGCTCCAGTCATGTCTCGTATTATCCAGCATCAGGTATAAATTTCAGCCTCATATATATTTCCTTTGTTGAATTTGAACATGAAGGTTTCTCTTTACATTTGTAATTAAAACGCATAAATTATCGGTTCCTTGTTTTCCGTTATGGTATTTTGTTGGTTGTGTTTTAATCTCAGCGAACAACAAATCAGCTACATGTCATCAATTATTCAATAGTAATGCACTTTCAATCATTATACATACATTACACATCCAAGATGAAAACTGAACCCCACTCAATGGACTTAACAACAATCATCTAAAATCTCATTTGAATCAAGCTGATGATTTCGCTTGAGCAATTTGTTGTTGTAATTCATTATATTCATTCTTCTTTTGTTGTAAATATTGTTCTAAAACTTGAACTTGACTTTCCACTGTATCTATATCATTAGAAACTTCTGATAAATCAGCATTAGATTTAGATTCTTGTATCAATTGTTTTTGTTTATATTCTAATAATTGTTCCAATTCTTTTCTAGTTTGTAAAGTTTTATTTGTTGTTGATCCATTACCATTCAATACATTAATTCTTTCATTTTGTTTAGAATCTGTTTCCAATTCTCTTTGACGAACTTGTTCTTCCAAATCTGCTAATTCTCTTTTTAATCTCACTTCTTCCCAATCAGTACCTTCAGTTGATGAAAAATCAGTACCTTTTGTATTTTTGGATAAACCAGACCCACCAATTCTTTCTAAATAATTATCAGCAAATGAATGTTTTGAGTTACCACTTTTTTGAATTGATGCTTGATGAGATTCAATTGAGTATTCAGGTGTTTCTTTTGAAAAAGTAGCTCTTAATGAACTTGGTACAGATCTTGGTATTCTTTTCCCAGTTGATCTTTGATTCAACATGTGTAAAAATATTAATGTTTGATCTTTATCTATAGTTTCTGATGATCTAGGATTGACTAAATTCCAAGCAGAACTTATATCAGTAGCTGGAACATTTGGTAATGTACTATAAAGACCATTTAGTGAATCATACGTGATTCTTCCAAATCTATCACTTGCACTTGAATAAATTTCTTCATATTTAGATTTATCATTTGGTGAAATATACCAATCAAATTGATCACTTAAGCTAGAATCATCATCTTCACTGTCTGAATATCTAAGAGTTTGATGATCTTGACCTGATAAAGCTCTATTTGCTTGAATTAAATGCGCTTTACTTGAAGGAACTAACCAATCTGGTAATTGTGAAGGTAATGATGAGATGGTACCATTAACCAAATCAAAAATCAATCTCATACATATACAAAATTCTTCAAAATCTAAAGATCCATCTGCATCAATATCTGATAAATCCCAGATTTTAGATAAATTTGAATCACCTAATTTAGAATTTTTTAAAACAACACTAACTTGTTCACCATTTAATTTATTATCAATTGGTTTCAATCCACTAAAGATTTCCCAATATTTTTTGATTTCCCATTCTTCTAGTTTTGGTGCCATGTTTTATATCAATGTTTAATAATTCAATTTGTTTAAATTGTCTTATATTCTTATCAAGTTTTATGTCACAATCTTACAACGATCTATTAGGGGAATAATATCGATGTGTTATTTCACCGAAATCGCAATTTCGCGGTAAACTACAAGATTGTTATGTTATCCGCGAAATTTACCCGGATCTAACATTTCAATTAGCTGTCAAATTTCAGCGGTTCAACAATAACAGCATTAAAGTGCTTTTGAAATTAAAATAGTACAAAAGGAATCGAATTGATAAGGAGATTCGAAAAGTAATGGTTTGATACTGGTATTACATATTGTTCTGGGCTCAATAACTTCAATTGTTGTGGTCTGATTGTGATGTCTGTAATAGATCTCGATCCTCGATCTACGAGATCTTGAAATCTTCTTCTTTGGGACCCTCAGCCAGCCTAGACACTGAACTTACAAGTCATAAGCTAGTAGTTATCAGCTACCCTAATACCAATCCAGTATCATTATTGTCTCTTTTAGGAACAATCCATTTCGTCTGGAAACTAATAAGTCAACGCGCCTAGATTAAAAATGTTCCTAGAAATCTTCAAAGACGCGTCAAAATCCACACGGTTAGGCCAGTCATGCGCGACTCCTTACATTAAATATATCAAATCAAAACATGGATACGCGTTCAATGTTGATATTTTTAAGAAACGAAAGGTAATTTAAATCTAAAGGGGAAACAGTTCTGCATAAACAGTGTCCCTTCACTATGGAATTAGCCAAAAATGTATGAAATGCTACTTCTACACACTGAATGTTGCTGGAATCATCCCTTCTTCAAGGGAAAAAGGTGCATGGTCTAATGTTCTATTTACAGAGACATTGAAGAATTAGTTTAAAGATCTTAAGGGTTGAGAAACTTGGTTGAATATTGAGAAATGAGTAAAAAAATTATCATCAAGGCTTTTCTTTTTGACTTCTTATTATTCACAAATCCTTTAATTCATCTTTGCTAAACTTACCTTGATACATTCATTTTACCTATAACTGCCTCATCATCCAAATACTTCAAAAGACAAACAATATACCTATTTCCCCCAGTTGAGAGAAGCACAAGAAAGAATTTTTACAAAAGATGAGCTTTCAACTTATATTTAGAAGCTGTTTCATATTATGGCTCATGTCAATGATACGAGCTGCTCCAAGAGAAGGTTTCCCATTTGATGAACAATTACCAACAGTAGCAAGAGTTGATTCAGATTATTGGTATCAATTATCAAATGAAACATTCATAAGTTCAACTGGTGAAGTCACATATAGTATTGAAAATCAACCATCATGGTTAGAATTTGATCCAACTTCAAGAATTTTATCAGGTACTCCAAGTGAAGATGATGCTACAGAAGCAGCTAAATTTACCTTAGTTGGTGAAGATGGTGATTCAACAATTTCAAAAGAATATTCAATTGTTGTTTCTAAAAATAAAGGACCAGTTCCATCAGATAATTATACCGTTTTATCACAACTTTCAGATTTTGGTCAAACAAATGGACAAAATGGATTGGTTTTAAGTCCTGGTAAAATATTCAATGTTAGTTTTGATACTAAAACTTTCGATTCTGATGATACTGTTAAAGCTTATTATGGTCGTTCAGCTGATAGATCTTCTTTACCAAATTGGTTATTCTTTGATAGTGGTAATTTAAGATTTAGTGGTGTTGCACCATCTGTTAATTCTGAGATTGCACCAGGTTTTAAATATTCATTCATTTTAATTGCAACAGATTACACTGGTAATGCAGGTGGCTGGATAGAATTTGATATTGTTGTCGGTTACCATGATTTGACTACTAGCGTTAAAGGTGTTACACATGTTAACGGATCTGCTGGGGATGATTTGGACTTTGATATCCCATTAGATGATGTTTATCAAGATGGTGAAACTATTACAACTAACAATATTTCAAATGTCCAATTATCAGGAGCTCCAGATTGGTTAACATTAGATAATTATACCCTTGTTGGTACTGTTCCTGAAGATTATGAAAGTAGTAATGATACTTTTAATGTTACAATTTGGGATTATTATTCAAATCAGGTTGCTTTATATTTCCAAATTGAATCTATTGACTCTTTATTTTCAGTTGATTCATTTAGAGACGCTAATGCAACTAGAGGTTCATATTTCCAATATTATTTCACTCAATCACAATTTACAGATTTTGATAGTACAAATATTACTGTTGATGCCGAAGATGCTGATTGGTTATCATTCCATAGATCAAATTTAACAATTAACGGTGAAACTCCAGATGATTTTGATGAAACTAAAATTACAGTTCAAGCTTCTAAATCAGGTACATCTGATGAATTATCTTTCAAAGTTCGTGGTCAAGATTCCTTAACAAAATCATCTTCTTCAAGCTCAAGATCATCAAGTACTTCATCTTCATCTTCAAGTCCAAGTGGTTCTTCTACTGTATCTAGCTCAACTGTATCACAAACTGCAAGTTCTGAAAATGGTCCAATTTCCAAATCAAAATCAAATAATAACAAAAAGGCATTAGCTATTGGTCTTGGTGTTGGTATTCCATTATTCTTAATCATCTTGGCTGCTGTAATTGTTTTCTTATGTTGCTTCAGAAGACGTAAGAATAATAAATCTGATGAAGAAGATTCACAATCATCACCAAAAATTTCTAAACCAATCTTGGGTAATCCTGCAAATGGACCAAATAGATCACCAACTACAAATAACGCTGCTGGTGTTTCACCGTTTGGTGATAATGGATCTTCAGATTATGAAGTTGAAGGAGCTATGGATGAAAAGAATGAACCTCATAGATTAGGTGCATTAAATGTCTTAAAATTAGATGGTAAAGAAATGTATGAAGATGAAAGTTCACATTCTTCAATTAGTAAAGCTGCTTCATTTGAAAGTATTCATGATGATACACATTCATCATTATATCAAGATGCTTTACAATCACATAGTTCTGATATGTTAATGGGTGCCGGTGCTGTTGGTGCTGCTGCTGCTGGAGCTGGTGCTTATGCTGTCACAAATAGAAATTCACATCATGATAATGAAACACTTCCAAAGAAATCATGGAGACAAACTATTGATTCTAAGATTAATAGAGAATCATTGAACTCATTAGCTACAGTTTCTACAAATGAATTATTTAGTATAAGATTAGCAGAAGATGATGAAATTAGAAAAGATCCAAGAAAATCTAATTTAGGTTTTAGAGATTCAGCATTTTTAGGATCAACAGCTTCATCAATTTTAACAAGAGATGATAGTGGTAATATTCAAAGATTAGATAGTGATGGTAACATTGTCGATTTGAAAAACAATGGTAATAATGGTAGTAATAATCCATTTAGACATTCAAAAGGTGGATCATTAGATGTCTTGAAAGAAGAAGCTACACCACATCAATTGCATTCAACATCATTCCCAACTCAACAATCATATAATCAACCACAACAACAAGGACAATTACACCCAAATCATAAAGCAACAAATTCATCATTAGTACAAGATACTTCATTTACATCAACAAATACACAATCAACAGGTGAAGAATTTTATCCAGTTGAAACATCAAATGGAGTTGAATGGAAACAAAATGCTAAAAATAAATTTACATTTGAAAATGGTAGTGTTCAAAATTTAAATGATACAACTTCATCATCAAATTATATAAATACAAAAGCCAGATTAATGGATTTTACAAATAAAGCAAGAGCAGAAAGTACAAGTAATGATGTTAGTCATTCAACTTATGAAACTGCTGAATTTGAATCACCATAAATGAAGTTTATAAATGATGAATGTCTTGTTTTACAACCTTGATAATTTTTGACTTGGTTTCATTTTTATGATGTTGATTATTGAGATGTTGTATGTTTTTTAATTGTTTGCATGTGATCTATCTAATTTTATTAATCATTTAATTTGCTTTTCACTTCTATTGAGTTATTTTTGTGCTTTTATGTGTGTTTTTTGTGATTTTGTATCGATGAAGTTTTTTCTAATTTGAATGGCGTTTTTATTTTTTTTCTGCAATCATTTATTTGTCTATTTAATTTATCCGTGTTAATAGATTGACAATAAGGACTTTTATATAACTTTTTTAATAATGTAACTTAATTTAATACAAGAAAAATATATTTTAAAAAAAAATCTATAATTTATTGTAGATTAATTAATCAATAGATGTTTCAACTAATGCTAAATAAAGGAATATTAAATAATATAAATAAAATAATAATTCTATAAATTAATGACGTACATTGTGTGTCAGTATTGGGGGAACATGGGCTTGTAACTTTCAAATTCAATTTTGAATTTGTTGAGCATAACGAGCAGTTTCTTGTGCTCTTCTTCTACCTTCAATGAATTCAATCATTTCAGAGTAAGTTTCAGGGATAACAGAAGAGAAACCTGGGTTTTTGATAGAATCAGATTCAGCTTCAGTTGGAACAAAGAATGAATAAACAAATGAACCTGATGGTGTTTCTTTGCTTTCATTTAAAGCTTTAACTGATGTATCAACTTTAACTTGAATTAAAGTACCTGGACTGTTTAAGAAATTGTTTGGATCATTACTCAAAACATTAGTTGGACGAGCATCAAAATGTAAGAAACTTTCTTCTGAGAATGAACCTTCAGCTAATTCTTTTGATAATGGTTTAAATTCTTGTTGATGAATATGTTCAGTGTAAACAACAGTTGAATTCATGAAAAGAACTGAACCGACTGGGACTGGGGCTTTAAAAGTTGTAGTATCTAATGAAACAAATCTTGGGAATGATGATGAGAATGAAGCAGCAGTACAATAAGCCAATTCAAAGGTCTGTCTCATCAAATAACCACCAAAAATCATATAAGAATGTCTGTTTCTATATTGAGGTTGCATAAATGAGGTTGATTGAGTTTTAGTATCTTTCATCAAGGAAACATTTTTTGGTAATTCATTATATTTGGCTAATTCTTTTGAAGCTAAAAACATTTTATGGATTAATTGAGATTCTTCAGAAGTTGGAGGTTGTTTATCTAATGAGTCTTTATTTTTAGCTAATTTTTTAGCAGCATTTTGAGATTCAGCTCTTCTATAATCAATCCATTCATTTTCAGAAATTGGTAATAATCTGTTAATTGGGAATGATTTATGAGTTTCTGGATTTCTTGCAACGAAAGTGAATGAAGCAGTTAAGAAAACATCTTCTTCTTTAATATCTTCTTCTTTTAAGTTTTTTTTAACTGATTCATTTGTAGTGGAAGCTTTAATTAAAATTTCCATTGATGATCTACCAGTCCAAACAACTGAACCTGATAAAATAAAGTTTTTATCAGCAATTTCATTAATTCTTTTCAACATATAGATACGACTAACTTGTGCAGTAACAATGATTGGAGCAGCAGGGCTAACGAATCTATAACTGATTCTACCAGCTAAAGCATCAAGATCTTGGAAAATTTGACCCATACGTAATCTACCTGCTGCATTAACATAGAAATCAGCTAACCAAAGATCTTCTTTGAAATTTAATGTTAAATAACTGAATGATTCTGATCTTGTTTTATCTGAAATAACTGGAACTTGTGGTGTATTATAAGCAAATGAATCAATAACTTTCCCTTGTGCTAATTGACGTTTTCTTTCAGCTAATGCAGTTAACCAAGTAGCAGCTCTTGATGAATCTTCAAAAGCAGAAATGACTGTACTGGCATCTCTTTTATCAGCTAAGATAGTGGTACTAGCATCTTCAGCGGCACTGGCATCATTTGAACCAGCTTCTAAGTTAGCAGGAGATTTGGTGGATTGGAAACGACAAGCAGCTCTTAGAGAGCCACCTGTTACTCTTAAAGCTTTAGAATATTTAAGCATTTTGTTGTATATCTTGTGATCTATCGAATATATTGTTTAAAACAAGAGAAGAAAGATTAGAATGGCCAAAAGAAATCTAAATATACTTATAAAAATATTTTAAGCATACTGACATAATCTCATCTTCTGGGCGAACCATCCCGCTTTCCAACCTTCTGATGGCTCTGAGTCCGGGTTTCTACCGATTTTGACAGATTGTTGAACTAGATTTTAAGAGGTATTTACTCTACAAAATGTTTATTTGATAGTAGTAATAAGATTGTTGTGCTTTTATAAGTGGAGTAACTACTCAAAATGAGTCAATTATTGTTCAAACCCGGTTATATATACTCCAAGTTTGTGTCAATTTAGTATTTATTACTAGGTAAAATAGGAAGTATTATACGACATCCCCCGAGCTTTGTTTAATTCGTCAGCGATTCTTAACGGGATATTATTGGGTGGAGCGACTAATTCCGAATCCCGATGCTTAGATAAGTTTGGTTCAGCCGTATATACTGGTAGCTGCTGACTAAGTATAATATGTACTTGAATCAATATAAACATACCTGAAAATTGGATATTTTGAAAATAAATACTATAGAAATACTCCTGAAGATCCATGTATCATTAATATACTCTCAAATTATACAAATTCTGGCTTTGAAATTTAAAGTTCTTTAGCATTTTTGAAATGTATCAATTTCAAAATTTTTATTTTTACTTTAAAATTTGATTGAGCTAAAAATTCAAAAAATTCAAAAGTCGAAATAACCTAATTTAAAAGCACAATCAATTTATTGAAAGAAAAATGGATATGTCTTGCTTTAAAATATATTAAATGTCCTACAAAAATGTCACTTTTGAATAAATATTAGTTATTTCGATTACTAATTAATTACATAAGATGGAAATTTTTATAGCATCACCTAAATGTCCGAAGACTTATACAACATAATAACCCCCAAAGAGTCGAATTTAGCTGATAATTTGTTGGAAAAATGGTATAATCATCTATTAATCCATTATTTTGATTGATATATCTATTCAAAATCAGTATAATTATTATTATTACTGAGTTATTTACAATTTATTGAGCAAAATCTGTCATTATTCCGCGTGCACTGTGCACTTGTTCGTTAAATTTGTGAGTACTAATAGAGGTTTTCGGCGAAATCGCGATTAGGGAGTTTTTTAAATTTTTTGTTAGTGCGACCGTAGTAAAACTTTAGGGAATCGACTAAATCTCAGGTGGTTTGGGAAACATGTCCCAGCGAAAAAATCAAGCTGATATGCACGAAAAACTTGGACATTTCTCACTTTTCCCTAAAATTTAGGGAAAAACTACACAGAATAAAAATTCGCGGTAATGAAAATGGTTATGGATCTTAAGTATGGAAAAATTTAGGGAATAGACAAATGTGTTCTTACCAATAAAAATGAAAAATTAGAATCCCTAATCGCGATTTCACCGAAAACCTCTAATAAATATAAACATTTAGTGAATAACTAGATTATTTATCAAATAACTCCACCATTGTAATTTTTGAGATATATATCTACTAATTAAGTTTTGTTCTAAAATTATTCTTCAAGGACTTATGCTATTAAGTCATAGCCATTATAATATTTGATATTCACCTATATCTCTTGACAAACGCGTACAAGTGCACACCCGTCCACTTGTCTGCCTACAAATTACATAGTACCAATAAATTTTATATGGAGGCAAAAATTGTGGATAACTTTACAATGGAGATCCACTTCAATGAACGGCAAAATATTTTACTGTGTAATATTTGGCAGTTGACTATATGTACAACTGAATAGTAAGTAGTTGCATCAATTCCTTTATACATGTAATAGCTATTTAATTAGTGTACATACACTTTTCGCTCCTCGCGATACTAAAGTGATGCCTACGCTCTTCCAATTATCGTTTTCGTTATCAACCGTACCTTAATACTTATGCATTTTAACACTATATATTACCACTTAGTACACTTGTTTAGATTTCTTCAACTTGACTTAGTAGATACAATTTGATACAATATCGGCTAACATCTTGATGTGGTTTACCAAAATGTCAAGATGGTGGCTTTGAAACATTAGTTCCATAGGTTAAAAGGCTAAAAGCTCATATTGTGGCTAATTGAAAGGTTCTAAAACAATCCATACAGGCCATATCTACGTGATTCAAACTGTGGAGCCCCAGAGATATGATGCCATTAACTTAACTGTGGTGGCTCTTTTTTTGACAGGTTCTCAAGAGTTTCTTTGTTAAGCATCGCTGGTCACCTGACAGTGCTCATTTCACGTGATTATTCGTAATCTGTATTCAGTCTATTTAAAGTACGTGCGGATAGCAAAGGCTACTGTTTTGGTATTTTTATAGTTATCATCTGTAGCATTTTGATAAAAGATATAAGTACAAGTTGAAGTAAACGCGTTGATCCTTTTAAAAAATTTAGAACTGTGGTTGTGGTTTTAAAATTTGATGTGTATTCATTTGATCAGTGGTTTTAATTTAAATACCCTTTGATAGTACATGGTAACAATATTGTTACTTCCCCATAAATCAAATAGACATATATATGATAAGGAAGTAAAGAAACAATGAGTAATAGTAACGAGAATATCACACCTGCTGCTCTTTTGGAACAGTTGGTATATGTTGATACATTCATGCCAGAAATTGATGATCCATCTCAACTTGATGAAAGGTTAACCGCTGAACTATCAGCATTTGCAGATGAATCTTTTATATTCCCTGATGAAGAGAAACCAACAAGAAATAACAATAACAACAATAATAATAATGAAGATGAAAAAGATGTTCATAATGATCATAATAGGGATCCAACAAATATTAAAGATGAACCAACAAATCATCATGAACATTTAATTAAAAGATTTGATGAAATGAATCAAAGATTTGCAAGTAATCCATTAAGTTCAAATTCAAATTCAAATTCAAATTCAAATCAACCTAAAACTTTTAATACTTTACAACAATCAAATAATTTGGATAGTGGAATTTCAAACATTTTATCACCTTTACAACATAATCAAAATGTAAATAGCTCATTATTAAATTCACATTCAGAATCTTTACTTAATCAATTTCATAAAGAAGGTAATAATCATGATGTTTTAACTAATTTACCAAAAGTTCCAGTTCCACCAGGTGCTCAATCTTCTTTAATAGCTGCAGGATTATCTCAAACTCAAATAGATGCTTTAGCTGCTTTAATTGCTCAACATCAAGGTGTTGATGAAAATGGTCATAAAAATTCAAATTCATTATCAAATTTAATATCTCCATCACAAAGTTTATTAAATCCAGTAGTTACAACACCATCATCATCAAGTGATTTATTATCATCAAATAATAATAGAAAAAACAGTGCTACAAGTTCAAATGAAGGAACTTATGGAAATCATAGTCGATCAAATTCAATAGTCAAATTAGAAAATTCTGGTGATGTTGATTTAGATAAAAGAAAACGTAATACAGCTGCAAGTGCAAGATTTAGAATTAAAAAAAAATTAAAAGAACAACAATTAGAAAGAAATATTCGTGAATTAAATGAATTAACTTTAACATTAGAAAAAAAAATTCAAACTTTAGAAATGGAAAATAAATTATTAAGAAATTTAGTTGTTGAAAAAGGTGAACAAAAAAATAATGATGAATTAGAATATTTAAAAAGAAGAGCTAAACTTTCTGCTAATAATGATCAATCAGAAATTTCAAATTCAAATAATGAAAATAATGGCGGATTCGGTACATCAAGTGGAACTTTTTAAAATATTAATCTAATGACTTTGACTTTGACAGCTTAACGAGAAATAAATAACTTAATGAATATGATGATTTATGCTTTTATGAATACTGTAATATTACTACCAACTACCAACCGATTTTTCTTACTAAACTTTATAGATTCAAACGTGAATATAAAATCTTAATGTTATGTTATTATATGTAATAATAAAAAACTAGTATTGAGAAAATCATGGTTACCTCATCATATAATTTGAACTAACAATATTCATTAAATCATAAATTTTAAAACTATATATTCAAAAATAACAAGTCTGCAATAGAAGTTACTTGAAGATATAATGAACTAGCTTCAAAGATAACAAGTCTGCAATAGAAAAATAACTTGAAGATAATTATGGACTATATTCACGTAAATCTCAAAGATCAAACCCAAATAAAATATTGGATTGAATATATAAGAGATTATAATATATAGTACAATCTACATACATATTTGATAAAGCTCGTATGTGCATAATTGATATTGACGTTTTAATTAAGCTAGTATTGTAGCTTGTTATATAATCTATGTATAATCGCAATTGTGGCACATTGAATCACATGACAAGGCCTGATACAACAAGACTCCTTTTATAACCGATATATCTAGGCGCGATGGCTTTGAGACTAGGAATTATTAGAAATTATCGGTATAAGGCCGATTTGTCCCAAAAGTCTCAATTAAAATTAATTAACGTTTTGGACAAATTGCAAATTTGGTAACTGATGATCATCAATCAAATTTTAGATGATCCACGAATTAAATCTTAGACAGCTGTCCAAATTTGAAAATTTTAAGCCACTAACATTTTTATAGATAATTAGATAAACTGATAAACCACATGGATGGCAAATTGGCAATGATTGTGAAGTTTGAACATCACAGAAGATCACATCATTAGTATGAATTCTTGTGCACGAACGTTTTCAACGTTTAATAACACCACACGTTTGAATTTCAAGATCCGTACAAGGATAGTGATGTTGGAAACATGATTAAAATTAATATATAATTATCAAGCATTATACTTTCAAGTTTAAAAGTACTCTACCATTTAAGTTCTAACAATATAAATTCAATAGTTGATCTAGATTACGTCGTTGTGGTTTAAATTTATTGTTAAACCCGTCTCACGATTCAGTCTAATAATGATCTACACTATAGACCTCATGTCAAAATCAGGACTAGTTGTCGATTGAGTCTTCCAGTTGGAGATTTAGTATAGTTTTTAGCAATCTAGCGTTGGATTTGAAGTTACGTATAACCAGAAAATCTAAATTGTTCGTTAGTGTTGCTTACGATCGTAGTGTGTTTAAAGTCAACAGTGAACATATCGAAACGGTTAATCCTAAATTGCGCCTAAGATCTAAACCACAGAACTATATACTGAGCAAATTAATCGAAAGCTAGAAACATATTACACGAAGCTGAGCAAATAAACAAAGTACTTAACGAGAAAGATATTGCGTATATTGTACTTCAAACAAAGGCTAACGAACTTTCAGGTTATGCAATTTATAATCTGGTCTCACGCGTAAATAAATTTCAGTTATAATAAATCTATGACTTCATAGTAAAACGTTAAAACGTCAACTGTATTTGATTTAACTTTCTATACTTTTCTGCACTTTGAAACAAACAGATAACATATATGACTAGATTAAGCCCCAAAACATGGTGATTCGATACGTACTTGGGAAAGTAGAATAGAATAGTTATACACTTGAAAGATCATAAACTCACAAGTTCTGAAAGTGGTGAATTCGCATGCGTTAAGCATCGGAAGTTGTGTGATTATTGATGAATCTTCCCCAGTTGAGAAGGTGTACCTAACTATTACGGTACTACGGTTGTAGCCTCAGGCCTGGTACTACCGTGTCGACTATGTCCAACGGAACTAAGTGGCTTCATGGCTTCATGGCTTCAAAGTTCACGGCTTCACAAATCTAAATAATAAATTAATGAAAATTGGAGTAAAAGCGTATATGGATTAAAGTGGACATTATAACCACAACACAGTCATTAACTTATAGTTTGAGGTTCACAGTTTAACTCTCCAATATTTGATGAAGTCAAGACGTCAGGGCCCAAATCATTATGAGTTACAAGACATAATGATAATCAACTAAATATCTCCACATTTTATTAAATTATATGCACACTTTGTCCACAGCCTGACCATCATCTCCAAGTTCCAACCACTGACCAGCTACAATTGATTCCACAGTGCACACCCAGTTTTTCCAAAGTTCATTGGATCAAATTGATCAGCGTAATTTATCTTCTTCAAGTTTTGTATCTGTGTATCCAGTGTGTATCGATTCTCTACCTAGACTTGCCTACCTGCCTGTCTGTTAACTGGAGGCTGGAATCCATTTAGGCTGGAAATTTTGTGTCAGATTTTTACAATAGGGCGTATATATTTTACAATAGAATCTGATAGAAAAGAATAGATTGAGTATCGTCTTTGTACAACTCTCTTTGAATATGAATTCATTTTGTTTGTTTTACAATTATGGTATATTTGTGTGTTTTTTTTGTTTTAATATTCACTCGTACTTATGTACTCCGGTATGTTTGGTTGTTGATCAGCTTTCAAAATTCGAAATATAAGCTTAGTGAGATTTAACCAGCCTTATCATACAAACAGACTCAAACCTGAACTAGTAATTAGATACGTGATAAATCCTTATTAACGCTATCCGACAACTTCTCAAATTATGGGTGTCTATCTTTTTGTCCTATGAAAGCCTGGCCAGTAGTTAAGGGTATCAAGTTTTCCCCAGATAGCCTACGATTCGTTACAAGTACACCTCCAAAGTTGTAGATCTCTTAGGGGTAAATACAAAATCGAATCATATATGGGGTCATAATCTATAGCTTCATGATCAAAACTATATGTAATTTATAATCAGTATCAATTAGATTCCCACCTTTTTCCGTCGATAATTTAAACAATTTGTCACAAAATATCATCCCACATTTAAACAATATTAAATAGTTTTTAACCCATCACACGTAAATGTACAACTACTAAAGTTGAAAGGTCACACACATCATGTATCTTGTATTATATATTGTAAGAATACGTTAACATAACGTACAAATCACAATATATTAACCGGCTACCGGATAAATGCCTTATAGTCTACAATTTATCATGTTGAATTACTTAAAATTTAGTTGAGATTTTAGATATCGTGATGAAATAAAACATGCTTTATGCTTAATGGGTTGAATATTTAAATTGTTGGATTTTAAAAGTTCCAAATAAAGTTGATATACCCGTTAATACTATGAATTATCTCCTCAGAAGTTACTACGATTATATCTACAACTTTTATTTATAATATTTGAATATTATATATGCATTTAATCTATAAAAGTCTATTGATACATGTTTGTTTCATCATGAAAAAAAATCAAAATATAAAAAACCCAGTTTCATAATCACATTAACTCATTAGCAATCTTTTTTAAAAAGATTTTATTTGGTATATTATAATAAAAAATAGGAAAGGATAAAATTCCTTTCAAGAATTGAATAATCTTTGTAATAATCTTTTGTACGTATTTGTACTCTTCTAATTGATATAAATTGTATAAATTGGTTATCTTTTAACCACTTGAATTTGTTGATGATCTTCTCCATTTTAATTTTCCTGCAATTTTTTTACTAACTTCACTTATACTATTCTTATTTGAAGTTAATCCACCTGAAGCACTTGAAACACTTTTATTACTTGAAATACTTGATTTTTTTGAATCTATAACAAATTCACAACTTGAATTTAAACTATCACTTGATTTTATAGCAAATGAAGTTGATGATCTTGGAGGTTTTGAAAAATTTGTTGAAGAATTTGTTGTTGAATTTGTATTTGTTGTTTCATCTGTATAACTTAATGGAGATCCTGATCTTGAAGTATTTTCTAAAGGAGAAAATTCTTCAACTCCTTCATCATAAGTTGGAGTTGGTAATGAAGAATTATTTGAAATAAATTTATAATTTTCATTTAAATTTATAGTTTTTTTAGTTGAATTTAAAAATTGGAAAAAAGCATCTCTTAATAAATCTTTTATAATAATCATTGTATTTGAAATTAATTCATTCGAAGGTAATTCACCAATTTGGAAATATTTAAAAAATTCATCTTTATATTCAAATGGAATATTAACTTCTTTTGGTGAATCATTTGATATGAAATTTATATATAAATGATCCCAAATTAATGATTTTTCTTTTTCAAATTCTGATAAAAGATAATTATTTGATTGAATTAAAAATTCTAAATTTTCTAATGAATGAATTTTTTTTAAAAAATTTGCAAATGCAACTCTTGAATATGGTGCAGGAGAATTCCCACTAAGAACTTCTTCATAACTTGGTAATAATTCAAATGTTGAACAAACTGAAGGTGATTTTGGTTGATGATGTAATTGTAAATTTTTTGGTTCTGGTGATATAGGAGTTATTATATTATGATTATTATCTGTTGTATTGAAAGATTGAGTTGATATATCAATCTGTGTCATTATTAAAACTGAATAATGAATATATATATTTAAACCACTGATCAGTTAATATATTAGCAAAATGTTATTAGTTGTATAATATTTGTATATGTCTTTTTAAAATTATAGTTTTAATTATACTATTAAATTTGGGGATAAGATTATTTAAATAGGTGTTTTTAAAATTTAAAACCGTTGTGGTCGATTTTAATTTTCTTTTGCAAACTGTTGAATTTTGTTGTTTGAAGGAAACGTTAGTACATGTCCTTGCAGACATGGACATCTAGACCTTTTTTTGGTACTCCAGGACTTCAGGCAGTACATGAGCTGTGGCCCCAGACTCAAGTTTATCGCGTAGGTACTAGGTGGTAGCTGGGTAATTTAAGCCTTAGAAAGAAATCGGGTCTAACTTTAAGTCTAAAACTTATTGGAGATGTAATAGAATACTTTAGAAATTTTAGAGCGATGTAATACAATAAACGTCACCTACAGTTTTTAAAGAAAAACTTGAAAACAAAGAATAGTATCATACTTCTTTGTACTTATTAGTTGTAAACGTTGTAACGTTTCTGTGTATAAAAAAATGATTTAATGGTTTTAGGATTTCAAATGTATATCGGATATTTATGGCAAATCTTTCTGGCGCGTTATAAATGTGTGCCTAGTATTTTAACCTGTGTTCATGATTGGGGAATTTTGATAAAAGTTGGAAGTTATTATGTGGTATAAAGTTTAAAAAATTAAGCATGATTTAGATTTAATCATTACGAACACAGCTTAATAATATAAATTAAACTTTCAAATTTTATCTTTATCAATTAAGAGAATTACCTAAAACTGTACAATAAAAGTTTAATTTGAATGTTTTGTAATAACATGATTAATAGATATATAGTACCATCGATTAAAAGCTAGATGTATGTATATTAAGTTGTCTAGAACTTGAAAACTTTAAGCCTTAAACGTCTATTATAGCATGATTAATATCGTTCAGTATAATATATGTTCATCTAGATTCTATACACAAATAGCCCCTCTAAATTGCATGATAATTAATTTAAAGTTAAGCACCATCGGTTACCTTAATTAATTATATAAGTTATATGTGCAATATTGTGTTCCCTATGCACGTATATAAACTATTAATTAGGAAATCGCGTTCGTTTAAAATTTAAAGATATATGTATGTTTCTTTATCTAAAATGTATAAGTGATGATTTGTACCATATACCTATATAAACTGAATTAATTTAACCATTCATCAACTTTTCTTCTTATAGTATATAGACTACTTTACCATACATTTTTACGAATTTACGTTAACTATAGTAGTACTATTCATTTAAACATGTGGCACTTGATATATATTTTATCGGTAATAGTTGTTTAAGCTAGACCGACGTATAATAATATCAAGACTAGGAACTTTAAAAGATTATCAGGTACCAAGAAAAATGTCCAAAAATTATATAACTATGGTTTTTACAGTTTAGGAAATCGGAACCAGATTAAATTTTCTGTGAAAACTGACAGCAGGCGGTAATTTGACTAGACCCTATATATGAGGGGTTGACTTGAGTAGATAAGCATAAGATAACCACAATTGATAACATTAGTGGCTTATGATTAAGTTATTATCTTTAATTATGTCATTAATGAATGAATTAAATGATCTTTATAATGATCTTGATTATAATCTTGACATCTGAATATTCATTGATAGTAAATTTACGGCCGTACTGTGTACACCAGCTATAGATTTGTATTACATTACAGTACTTTTAAACTCTTTATTGTAGATGTTGACAATTGATTTTAGAGATTAGAATTGGAAGGTTTAACGATGAACTAGAATCATCATGGCCAGGGTATAAACAATTAAGGACATATTAATATTATAAGACATTAATGATGTGATGTTTAAATCTTGGATATAATTAATAATATATTGATGACTTCAAATCAGATCATTTTTATAGTATAAGGTTTGTATTAGATCACACGTTGTTGACAAGATTAGTATTAGGGTTTAAGGGAAGATTAGCATAAACACATGATATTATATTATATTATTAATCTTTGTATGAAGTACCCTTGATAATTAACGGAATGCGGTTACATTGTATTTAAAAGCGTATTTAAATGAAGCGATTAGATAATTACAAATCACCTTGTTATATTATATAATAATCAAAAGTTGAACTACACTGTAAATATTTATAATAATTTATTATATCTTATAAAAAAATTAAATGTTAAAGATCTTTGGTATAAACAATTCCAATTTGATTATTAAATCTCCTAGTAATCGATCAAATTATATCAAATAATATTTGATTAATTATAACCCGAAGTAAACATAATAAATTCATGAACCAGCATGAATATATATAATCAAATCTTTCTATTGTTCTTCTTTTTTGGTGAATCTCTATTAAACACAATTCATATAACCAATGTTTTTTAACCGCCTCATAACTTCATAAATGTAAATGTATCAATGTATCATATAATAACCATGATTTCAATTAAACACGATAATTAATTGATCTTGCCTTTTCAGCAAAAGATTGACTAACACCATAATCTTTATTTTCAGTTAAAATTGGTTCAATATCATTATTTTTTAATAATAAATTTTTTTTTAATGGACCATGTTGAATTGCAGATTTTCTATATTCAGCAAATGATTTCCATGAATTACCAATATTATTTGAATAATTTGTTGTTATATTTGATGAACGTAAATCAACTAAAGTAGCAGCAGCTTTTGAAGAATCTTTTAAAGTTGATTTTAAAGTTGAAGAGAATGATCTTTTAGTGATATGTGCAATCATTGTATGGTTTGTGTAGTGTATAGATAACTATAATGATAAGTAACTACAATTACATTGTGTCAAAAGTAGGATATTTAAATCTTTTTATAATAAACCACATAAACCACATGTTACATTACAAATATATTTTACACCACAATCATATCTGATTCTTATTTCCCTTAACGGTTTGTAATTCCCTTAACTATGTAATTTTATAAATTTCTATTGCTCAAATCGCGGATAAACTGTGCAAAAAGTGAAAAAATCCAAAAAATAAAAAAAAAATAAAAAAATTTTAAAGAAATGAATGACCATTTGCTTTATCAAAAATCACTGAGAACCAATCGCAAATTAAAAATCGTACAATAAAATAGATTAGCTGATTTTAAATACATACAAACATAGCGCTATAGATATTGAGTATTGGGGATTGTATTGGAGAAGTATTGGAGAAGTGTAGAACAGTGAACTAGTGGAGATATAGGATATAGTATAATATAGTGTATAATATAGTATAGTTAGATATCATTATAGATTGTATAGTCATATCAAGACTCAGTGTAATACTAATCAAATCTTCACCGTTTGTTAAAATCTCCGGGTCTGCATTCGTTAACGTCTTTGTTTAATAAAATCAGCCATTGATAATAAGGTGCCCAGGGTTCAAACAGGGTGTGAAAAGTATCTCCGAAGTTCGAATAAGTCAGGAACAATTAGCAACAACAAGAAATGATAAAGTGGTTGATGAAATTACTCGCAAACCGGCACTTAATTTCATTGTGGTATTATGATATCTATGGGTGTATTTTGTGTCATGTTTTATACTCTTTATAGGAAAATGATACTTAACTATGATATCAATAGTGGTATAGAAGGGCTAAAAGGGAAGTGGATATCTAATTGCTAATAGTATGTAATGATACTCTATTGATCTATTGCTAGTATGATGTATTGACTATATATCATAATACGTTGTTGTTATCCCTTTGAAGCAATTTAATTGATAAATTTACTGATTTACTTTTGTACAATATTTTACTTGCTTTGCTTCAAGTTTATCCGATGTATTATATACGAGTGATTGTTATGTAAGAATAGTTTGAATATCAATATCAATTCTTTACTTCATCTCAATGATAAATTACAATTTGCTACTGAATAATCATCATCATCATCAACTACACCACCATCACCACCAACATCATCATCAACTTCATCATCAACTATTCCATACTAAATCCAAATCTCAATCGCGATCAACTTTTAGCATATGCTTTTTTTAATTTTATAATTCCGTTTCGATAAACGGACATTTAAGAAAAAAACGCCAAAATCTAAATCAAAATGGTAAACATTAAAACAAAACGTATTATATACTCATATTACCACACTATATAAATCATTATAATGAGTCCCAATATAATATCTATAAAACCTTCAATTGAAAATTGTGATCCAATAAAAAAATATCAAAAATCAACTCCAATAAAATATTCTTTACAAGAAAATCCAATATTATATGGAGGTGGTAGAAAATGGTTATTACAATGTTCAAATTATAAAATTTTATCAAATTTATTAGGAAGTGAAATAGATTTTGGTATTGAAGATGATGATAAGTTGATCGATTTATTTGTATTAAATACAAGTTTTATAATTTGGTTTAATTCATTAGATAAAGGTATTGAATTATCTTATTTAGATATACCAGCTCATGCAGTAAGGAAAAATAATTTTAATAAATTAGAATTATATTTACAATTAAATCTTGAGCATATTGATGAAATATTAGAATTATCATTTAGACCAAAATATCTTGAAAATGAAAGATTTTTAAATGAATCTATTGAAAAATTATTTACTTATGAATTTTTTGGTTTTAATAAAGGTAATAAATTAATTTTTAATACTTTTAATTCAATTGGGAAATGTTCATGTTTTCATAATTTACCAAATCATGATGGTGATGATCAAGATGATGAAATGGATGAAGATCCAGAACTTATAGATATTAATATAAATGATTATATAAATGATTATAATGATGAAAATTTAAATGAATTTTATGATAATTCTGGTAATGCAGATGACCTAAATACAAAAAATTTAAACTTGGTGGAAAATCCTTCAAGTATAATGGTTAGTATTTATAATGATGATATAAATTTAAAAACAAGATTTAGAGATGAAATTGATGAATCTTTGGAAGTTAATAAAAAAATTAGAAATTAATACCATTGCATGAAACTTATTTAATATATAATTTATTCTACAACTAATAACAAACATACGTAAATTATTCCTTTATAAATCACAATATACAACACTACCAAAATTTCATCTATTAAAATTTGAATTTGAATATTTTCTTGCTAATCTTTGAATTTTTGGATCATGTTCAACAGAATCATCAATTTTTTTTAAAATTCGTTCTTCACGTTCTTTATCTTCTAATTCAATTTCTTTATGAGTTGGTGGTAATTTTTCATTAGCTAAATCTGCTTTTTTTGCATCTTGGAAATTATTAATTTGTTCTCTTAATCCATCTGAACCTCCTAATAATGAACCTTTTGGTAATTTTCCTCCTGTTAATTGTTTTAATTTATCAATATTTTCAGATTCCTCTCTAAGGATTTGAAACATTCTTGAAACTCTACCAATTGCTAAAATCTTGTTACGTAATGCACGTTTTTTCAATAATGATTCATTTTCAACTTCAATTGGTTCAGGTGATGTTTGAACATTTGATTGTTGTGGAATAGGTTCAATTTTATTGAAATTTTCATCTAATGGAGTATCTTCATCTAATTCTTCCTCAGTACAAATATTTAAAACTGAAACTAATATATCTGTAATTTTTTCACCAACAAATGGTAATGACCAAGTGAAAACATCCATAAAATTTGGTAACCAATAAGGATGTGGTGTATAATTAAATTGTCTAATATTCATAACATTATTACCATATTTTAAAACTGCAGCTTTATTTTTATAAGTATCTAAATAATTTGGTGCACTAAACATTGTTAATAATGAAGGGAAACCCATAGTTTCAGTTCTCTTATACATTCTATAACCTGCATCCTGGGCTTCATGAGCTCTAATAACACTTAATAAATTATTTCTTGTAAGGAAATTTGAAACAGCTTTAAATGTATAAGCATAAGAACAACCACGAACATTATTTGGTATAAACAGGGCATCATCATCTGTATTTTCATCATAATCTTCAATTGGATCACTCCATAAAATATCACACATTAAACCTCTTGTTGGAGGTTCTCTAAAACGATCAATTTTATTTAAATCTTCAGGTTTATTTAATTCTGGTGATATACCACCATGACAACAAAAATATTGACCATTCATCAAAGCAGCTAAAGGTAATGTATTAAATGAATCACATGCAGCTTTATAAACATTTGATGAATATTTATGTAAACATTCCATCTTGAATGTAAAATAATCAGTTAAATGTTTACATTCATGATTACCTCTCAAAAGGAAAAAAGTATTTGGATAAGTAATTTTAATTGAATATAAATATAATAAACATTCAATTGAAAAAGAACCTCTATCAACATAATCACCAAGAAATAAATATGAAGTATCTTTTGGATCACCACCAACTTCAAATAATTTAATTAAATCAAAATATTGACCATGAATATCACCACAAACAGTAATTGGAGCAGGAACTTGTAATAAATTTGGTTCTTTTCTCAAGACATCTGAACCCATTTTTAAAATTTTTATAGTTTGTTCTTCAGTTAATCTACCTTCTCTTAGGAAATGATTTTTTAAAAAATCTAAATTGGGTATACCATTTGATAAGAATAATTCATTATCTGAAGGTTTTTTATTTATAATTGGTGGTACATTATTATTTATACGATTTTTTGTTGAAACTTTTTGACCATCTTCTGTAATATGAATTGAAAAATCACGAGTTTGATTTGGTGTTTTATTTAAAGCTCTTAAAGCTGCATCAATTTTTTCAGAATTTTGTTGAGCTGATGACATTATAAAATCTTTATTGGAGTATTTTTGATAAATATGGTTTATCAATGATTTATCAATGGTTTAGGTATCACAGTCCTTTATCAATCAATCGAGCAACAATCACAAGAATAAAACAATCAAGAAAAGAAATTGAATATGATAGAAATGAATACCAATCCAATAATCAATTCAATACTAAATTATTGTAATTTCAATCAAAATTATGAAATACCTTATAATTTCAATTACCCATACAATTTTCAAGACAAATTGAATTCTGACTATTTTGGTCAAAGAATCAAAAGAGAATTCAAAATTGCGCCTGGCCCAATAAAGCAAGATCCGGTCTCATAGTTAAGAACATTTTTGTATGGGAATTTTAAAGATTTGGTGTGGTCGGAATTGGATTAGATTATATAAGTAAAAAAAATTTATATTACTTGCATTTTGATTTATTGATTTATTTATATTATTGTTTTATTTGATATTATTGTTGATATTATATTATATACACTCATCATGGCTGTTATAGACTCTACTGACTATGTTGAAGCTCAAGAAGGTTCCAAATCATTGAAATTTCCTATTGAAAAACAACAAGCTAATTTTGAATTAGGTGTTTCAATGATTATATATTCATGGGAAGCTTTAGATATTGCAGTGGCTAATCAATGGGGTGGTGCTCAATCAGAAGCTAAGAGAGATTGGATCACTGCTATTGTCCTAGATTTATTTGATGAAAAAATCGTAGATGTGGAATTGATTGAAGAAACTATTTTAAATGCAATGATTGATGAATTTGATGTTAATGTTGAAGATGATTCTTCTTTAATTATTGCTGATAGAATTATTAAAATTTATAGAAAATGTTTTGATCAAGATTATAAAGAAGTTCATGAATTATATTCAAAATGGGAAATTAAACAAAAGGAAAGATCTGCAAGAAATTTAAATATAACTATAAATGAAGATCCATTAAATCCAGATTCTTCAGATGATGATGATGATGATGATGAAGATGATGAAGAACCATCAAAAATAACAGGTGAACCAATAGATGAAGATGTTGAAATGGGTGGTGTTGATGAACCTCAAGGTCCTATAGTTGATGATGATGGATTTGAATTGGTTCAAAAAAAGGGTAAAAAGAGAAATTGATAAATATATCAATACGTAATGACATGAAAAAAATACAAAAAAGATGAAACATAGATTTATTTAAATCACTTGTATATTAATTAATTATAGAAATTTCAAAACAATATTTTGTTTTTGTAGTACTTTCTTTAATTTATATGGTAATAATTTTTTTTGGCCCGAGAAGAGTAGTGTACCAATCATGTTTATTTTTCACTTTTATATACAAATTTAACTCAAATTTAAACAAAATATGTAAACAAGATCGAAAAGAATCTTTTCACATTAACCTTTTAGTCACTCGCTGATCCATTTATAATAAGTATGATCACAATAGATACAATAGTATCATTTGTTACTAGTCCCTTGTCCACTGTATTATTTTTATTAGGATCTTTGTGAGTATTTTGAATCTTTTTGAAGTATAATGATATATGAGTGGTTTTATTAACAATTTGAAAAGTATATTATTACCAAGAATCATATCATATATAATATCTGGGATTATCACACTATGGCTCATTATAAAATATATAAACACATTATATAAAACAAGAGGTCCTTGGGATAAATTAAATTCAAATGATTTAGCTTTAATAACAGGTGGTTCAAATGGATTAGGTTTAGAAATTTCTAAAATATTAATTTCCAAAAAGGTTAAAGTATTAAATTTAGATATTGAACCACCAATTGAAAAAATTGATTCAATATATTTTAATTGTGATTTATCCAAAGAAAATGAAATTTTTGAAATTATAAATAAAATTAAAAATCAATATGGTATACCAACAATTTTAATAAATAATGCAGCTATTCGTCATAATGAATTATTAATCCAATTAAATTACCAAAAAATCAATGAAATTATACAAATTAATACCATGGCACCAATCATCTTATTAAAAGAATTTTTAAAACTTCATAATCCTTCCAAAAAATTATATATAATTAATATGGCTTCAATATTAGGTTTAGTTTCACCTTCAAATTTATCAATATATTCAGCAACTAAAAGTTTCCTTGTTTCACTACATGATTCTTTATCACATGAATTAATATCAAATAAAAATATAAGATTTTTATTAGTTACACCAGGTCAATTAGATACAAAATTATTTAAAGATGTTAAACCACCAAGAGAATTTTTTGCACCTATAATAAAATCCAAAGTTTTAGCTAATGAAATTGTTAATAAAATTGAATTAGGTGAACGTGGTGTTATACAGGGACCTTTTTATACAAATTTTATACCAATTTTAAGAATTTTACCATTCTTTATGAATGAATTTGCCCGGTGGTTTAGTCAAATGGATACAAGTGTTAAACAAAATATAGAATAGAATAGATATATATTATAGACAATTTTTACTTAGTTTTCTTTTGTATTTGATTCTAATTGAATTGCAATCCAATTATTTAATTCAGATTCATGTAAATTACCAAATCTATCAAAAATTTCATTAAATTTTAAAACTTTTGTAAACTCGATTGTTGATTTTTTTGAATTTGTTAATTTAAAATTTAATTTATATTCAGGTATAAATTTATCAATTTTACCAGAAATTTCTAAATTATTATTATTTTGTAAGTTTTGACCTTGATAAATTATTGATTTTTCCACAAATTTTAAATGAATTAATTGGAAAGTTGTTATTATAAAATATAAACCTAATAAAATTTTAGTATAAATTAATGAATCATTGAAATTGAATTGTTTTTCCACATAAAATGTTAATCCAGCAATTAAAACGGAAAAGACACCTAATCCTAATCTTGTATCAATCAATGTGAATGATTGTTTATATCCTAATTTTCCCAATGCCTAATGAATTGTTAATAAAAATATACCCTCTTTAATGTAATTCAATGAACACGTACAATTGGTAATTTCTCATCAGTGGCTGAACGTAAATCCACAACAGAACTTGGTGAAATGTTAGTAATGAATCAAAGTAAAACACTGATAAATAACATACTTTTTATTTGCAGTTTTAAAAGACATTTTGGTTAATTGAATATAAATCAGTTGTTAAATTGACACCTAATATAAATTGATAAATAAAGGCAAAATTAAATCACCATAAATTCGCGACTTTCTCATTTTTCTTAAAAACCGTGCTTTTAAATTTTAATTTTAAGAAACCATCACCAAAAAAACAATCCAAAATATTTAAATAAACACAGGTTTTAAACAGCTTCATTGCTCGTTTTATCCTGGTGAATTCTTTGGAAAGTCTTGCTCACTGCTCAACTAAAGAGTCATATTACTCAAGAAGAAAAAAAAAGCACGTTCAAAAAGCTCATTTTGCTATATTTAACAGGAGGTTTAATAATCAAGTTTTTTTTTTGCCTTCAATCCTATCATATTCAAATAATTGTCAACATTGGATCCTCAATATAACAATTTTCCTTCGAAAGAAGGTGTCTCAGTGTCTTCAGAGTCCTCCAGAGGTAATTCTACAATGTCGAAGTATAATCCTAACGTTTCAGCGTTTGTTCCAAATAAACAAGTGACTCCATCATCATCATCATCTCAATTAAAACAACAAAAATTAAATTCAAATTTATCTAGTCATTCTGCTCCTCCTCCTTCTAATCATGTTGGACAAAGTCATGGTAATGGAACTGGTAAGAATAAAAAGAATAAATCAAGAGAATCTAAAGTTGGTGGTGGTAATAATAGAAAATTTAGTTCAAGTTCAATGGAAAGCATAAATTATGAAGATTTTGATTTAAATTTAGAAGATCAAGTAATGTCTGGTAATTTTAAACCAAAGGGAAGAAGAGGTCAAGTTTCTATAAATCATTTATTAGAATTTTCTTTACCATCACGTGAAGAAAATAATCATAATCATACAAGTATTAGAAAACCAAGAAGAAGATCAAATAATGATGATAAAATTCATTTAAAAAATGATGAATTTGTTAATGCAAATTATAGATTCATTGTTGATTATAGAAATGATTATAATGGACAAATTTTAGATCCAAATTTAATTTTATCAAATAATTCAATCTTAAGAGTTATTGTCCCCAGGGGGAATTATTGTCCAATTTGTTTAACTGAAGATATTATTGCACCAAGAATGATTTCATGTGGTCATATCTTATGTCATGTTTGTTTATTAAGTTTCTTAGATTCTGAACCAATTCAATCTAAAAAGCAATCAATACCTAAAAAATATAAAGAATGTCCCCTTTGTTCAGAAATTATTAAACCAGATAATATTAAACCTGTCTTGATAAACCCTACAGATGAAAGATTTGAAATCCCCAAAATTGGTCAAGATGTTATATTAAAATTAATGGCAAAACCAAAAGAAAATATATTACCATTACCATTTGGATTAAATTTAAATCATTCCAAAATTGGTAATATCCCATGGTATTCTGATACTGAATTATATCCATTTGCAAGAATAATGAAAGGTGGATTAAAATTTATCATCGATAATTATGAACAAGATAAAATTGGTATAATAAATCAATATGAAGAAGATAAATTATTATATAATGATGATGGGAAATATGTCTTTAGGGCAATAAAAGAAATTGATACAATGATTGAATCTTATAGAAAAGGTTTTAATGATAATTTTAATGAACCAAATCCATTAGTTAATTCAATTGATTCATTATCAATTAATGAAAATAAAAATGTATCAAAATTAAATGATTTAAATTGTTTTTTCTTTTATCAAACTTCATTTAATTCACAAACAAGATTTTTTTTATCATCATTAGATATTAAAGTTTTATTAAATATTTATGGATCATATGATAATTTCCCCTCTACATTATTATTAAAAATTGATAATATTAAATATGGTGATCAAGTTTCCTTGAATAATTTGAAAAAATTTAAATATTTTGGTCATTTACCAATAGGTACAGAATTAGCATTCATTGAAATTAATTGGCAAAATATGTTATCCCCAGAAATAAAATCAAAATTTGGTAAAGAATTAAATGATCGTTTTAAAAAAAATTTAAATAAATTTAAAAAAGAAGATTTTAATAAAAGGAAAGTTGATGTTGAACAAGAATTGAAAACTATTGATTTTTATAAAAATGAAAATGAAGGTTGGGGGAACTATGATTTTAATTCAGTTGAGAATTTTGCAACATTAGATGATGAATCATTCCCATTAGGTGATGAAGAAAATGAATTACCAACTAAAGAGAATGAATCCACTTCAAAAGAATTTTTAACAACAGTTTGGGGTACTAAAATCCCAAAAAATAAATCAAATGAAGATGATAATAATGATAATATTGATGATTTTGAAACTGAAGAATTAATTAGATTAGCAAAAGAAGAAAATAATGAAAAATCAAATGGTTCTAAAAAAAAGGGAAGAAAAAAGAAATTATTAGTTTTAACTTCATCAAGTGGTCGTGGATATTAAGAAAAAAACAATAAAAATATAAAAAACGATACAAATACAATACAAATACAATACAAATACAATAAAAATATAAAAAAATATTAGATAAATAAAAAAAAGGATTGTTATGATGTTTATGATTTTTACTTTTGTTGGTTTTTCCATTTTTTTAAAGTTTTTTTTTTGTCATTTATAATTAGAAATTTAATTATATTAAATCATATATATAGTATATATGTATAAATAATTTGAACGATGTTTATGATTTTTGATAATAAGAACAACATAGTAGTTAGTTTAAACTAATTAATAATTATGCAAACTATTAAAATTAATATATTGCTTACATAATTCCTTAGTAATCCATATCAATAATTAATATAAAGTATTCAGCTTTAAAATACATCAAATTTTCTATTTTCAGCAATATTTTAAGACTATTATATTTCTATTGATGATTAAAGTATAACGCACTATTTAAAACTATGTTTTAAAGGGTTTGAAATTTTTAGTTTTTACTATATTTTCAGTTTTGAACTAAATATAAAATTTTGGACATTGATAATTTCCAAAATATCCGAAATTCCAAAATTTTAAACTTTGAATTTTAGTAGTTTTAGCTCCTAATATAATACTTTAACTCATAAGGATTATTCTAGTATATCTCAAATATAAATAAATAGGAAATTAAGTGGATTAAAATAAATTTATATTAATTGAATGATATTGATTGGTCATACATTACATAAGCTATAAGATAAAGTAAAATAATCCTTAGATCATTAGCTTCAACTACAAAAGAGTATATAATAAAGAGTGATAATTTAGTTATATACTTGTATTAAATATATGTATGATCATATCAAATGCATACAAATAAAATGAATTAATATATACTGCATCATGTAATAAAAGTGAAAATTTTTGACACATTAAAATTCCACCGGAATTAAAAAAAATGTATATCCTTGAAATTTATCATTATTAAAGAGAATTATATAAAGAGTTCAATATCCTGATGTTTATACTCATTAATGATCTTCGAAATGGTTTACTTGAATTATTGGAAAGACTTATGATTATAATGAGTACAATATCAAAAGATACTATATCAAATTTCTTGGGAACAATAGGTACAATTTTTTGGTGTATTCAATTAATACCACAAATTATTTATAATTTTAAAAAAAAAGTTGTGAAGGTCTTAGTCCCTTAATGTTATTTTTATGGACATTAAGTGGTATACCTTTTTCTATATTTTTTGTATCAAGAGATGCAAATATACCTATTCAAATTCAACCACAATGTTTTACGATATTATGTTTAATTACATGGATTCAAACGTTATATTATCCACCAATTAATGTGAAACCTAGAACTAAGCTTGTTTATTATGCTGGTGGGTTTGTTTTAATTTCATTAGTGGTTGAGATTGGATTTATAATACCTTTGAAAAGATTATACAAGCAAGGTATAACTTGGCCTTCATTAATATTTGGTATTTTAGCTTCAATTTTATTAGTTTTGGGGTTATTACCACCATATTTTGAATTATCTAAAAGACAAGGTCAAGTTATTGGGATTAATTTTATATTCTTGACTTTAGATTTCTTAGGTGCATTTTGTAGTGCATTATCAGTTGGATTGGCTAAAGAATTAGATATCTTGGGGATTGTTATTTATTGTATAGTTGGGATTATGGAATTGGGTATATTTACATCACATTTTATATGGTGGATTAGAATAGGAAGAAAGAAGGAAGTTATTGAAGAGAGTGAAAGTGAAGTTGAAGAAGTTGAAGAGAGTGATGTTGTTAAATAGGTGTAATTAAGGATCTAATAGCTACATTATATTATATTCAAATGGAAAATGATTTATATATAGATTGAATTGTAGTGGTTAACAAGAACAAACTCTATACTTTAATCAATAAATACTATTAATTTTATTCAATTTGTTTAATAAGATTAACAAATAAAAGATTCCAATATGTAGATGAACTCAAAAAGTGCTTTCAGAATATGAGTTTGGCAATAATACAATCAATAACCTTCACAAGACAATAGAATGGTTGAGATCAATAAACAATCGTCTGACGTTGGAAGATTTGATATTGAAATTGTAAGGATCCTTCACTGTTTATATATTATTTTCACAGCGGCTAATTTTAGTATACTATGAGTAAATACAAAAGATAAAGTATGGAAATGAAGATTAAAACAAAGATAGAAATGAGTATAGAACAATGCAATCATCTATTTCTTATTATTGTATTCACTATCCTTCTGTCCTTATAATTAGTAGTTGTTGATTATTTCATCTTCGCGTTTTAGTTTGTTTTGATTCAGATCAGAATGGGAAGAAAAAACAACTCCTTTCAAAAAATATTTAATTATTTATTTATTTATTGCTTTACCACTCTTCATTCATTCATTCATTTAGTTCAGTTCAGTTCAGTTCAACTCAGTCCATTCATTTATTACTCCAGCGTTCAACGCCAGTCATTCTTTACTACTTTCATTCACTTCATTCACTAACTACTATTCATTCATTAACTATTATCATCACCATGGACTCATCTCTTCAACAATTATTTCAATTAGAATCAAACCTTTCACAAGCTCAAGAATTCCTAGGCTCATCAACAACTAATCAAACTTCATTATTATCATCTCATTTAGAAAAATTAACTACAAATTCCACTTCAACTCAAGGTTTAAATGATTTGAATTACCAAGATGTTAAGGAATTATTAACCCAAAAGGGTTCATTTGATTTATCATTATGTTGTTCAGCTTGTAATCAATCAATCTATGAAAATGATTCAATGGCACAAAATCAACAACCTAAACAAATTTTACAAAAATGTTGTTTAGATTACTTAAACTCCACTAAAACTCCAGATGATTTAGAAATTACATTTTGGTGGTTTTTAATTAATAATTTTTCAAATTGTATTTCAACATTACCAAATTATACAAGATTTATGATTACAAATGGTATCCCTGCAAGTTTAAGAGATCGTATTTGGGGTGTTTTAACTTTTTCAAATGATTCCCAGGGCACAGTTGATGAATATTTATTAAATTTATATGAATCTTTAAATAAAGATATTTCACCAGATATTAGAATTATTACCAAGGATGTTGAAAGAACTTATCCATTCTTATCAATTTTCCAAAAATCTGAAACAAAATTAAAAATTTCCAAGATCTTGAATGCTTTTAGTATATATGATTCTGATATGGGTTATTGTCAAGGTTTACAATTTATTGTATCACCAATTTTTTTCCATTTTGAAAATGATTTTAAAACTTTTAATTCTTTAATTAAATTTTTTGAAATTAATAAATTAAGATATCTTTATGATTCCAAGATGTCAGGTTTACAAAAATGGTTTAATCAATTTGAAAAAATTTTATCACTTGAATTACCTTCATTATATAAACATTTCATTGAATTGGGTATTGATTTAAAAATTTTCCTTTCACAATGGTTTTTATCATTTTATTCAATAACTATACCTTTCCAATTTTTAATTAGGGTTTTCGATATAATGATGTTTGAAGGTGTAAAACCAACATTATTAAGAATTGGTATATGTATTTTATCAAAAAATTTAAATTTATTAATGCAAATTAATGATTCTGAATTAATTTATCAACATTTATTATCAGAAATGTGTTGGGGAGTATTTGGTAATAATTTAGAAGGATTTATAATGGAATTAATGAATCTTGATTTAAAAAATTTTATTGAAGAAGAAGAGGAAGATCAAGAACAAGAAGAAGAAGAAGTAGATAGTACAACAATTTTATCAAAAGTTTTAAATAATTTATCATTTAAATCAGATTCAAATTCTTCTTCATCATCATTGAATGAATCAATTTTTTCAAATGATTCAAAAATAACAAATAATACAAGTACAACCAATACAACAAGTACAACAACAACAGATTTAGAATTAATTGAAAAATTATATAAATTATGTTTATCAAATGATATAAATGATCCAATATTAAATAAAGTTAAAGATCGTTTATATGGATGATTAACTTTCGAATTTATTTATTGGGTCATTTAGGTAAAAAAGGTATAAAGGTATAAAGGTATAGAGGTATATTTATTAAACATTTGTAGTACATTCTTACATAAATTTCAAGTAAAAACAATATTCAAATTAAATTCCTATAAAATATAGCTTATAAAAAATTGTTATATAAAAAAATATATGCAAGATCAAATCAAAAATTTTTTTGTTTAAAAAAAAATTATAATAAACCAATAGAAAAATATAGGTAATTGGGGATAAAATTGATAAAATTGAATCATAAATAATCATATAAAGCTGTTAATTGATAAAATCATGAATTATATGGGATGGTAATGGTATCATTAAAAAAAAAAGAATAAAATGCAAAAAAGATAAATTTCATGATTTATTTTTCAAAAAGGGGTTTCCTTGGTTCCCAGGGGTTTACCTCCTTAAAAAAATGTAATTCTTAAACGATCAAAAATTGGAATTTTTGGTACAACACCAACAGCACAAATTAATAAATTTATAATAAATAATTTTAAATCATAATGACTATAATGAGTTGAACAAAGAAATAACCAAATTGGTACACCAACTAAGAATTTTTTACTTGGTGTATAAAAATCTCCCTCATCTAATTGTTCCCACATTGTTAAATTATCATAAGCACCTGAATTAAATTCAAATGGCGTACCTTTAACTAAATGAAACATAATATATGAACCAATAACATATGTAGCATTTGTTAATGACCAACTAATTTCATTTGATAAACCAGGTATTAAATCAAAGAAAATTTTTAATAATAATATAATAACAATATGAACTAACCAAGCACCTTTTGAATGAACCCAATTTGCATTTAAATTTGGTGTTGAATCTTGATCAATTTTTTCTTCAAAAGTTTCAGGTTCAACATGAGAAATTATTGATGATGAACGACGACGATGTTGATTATTATTATTTGTATTTGAATTTGGTGATAATGATCCATCAACAGAAATTGGTTCATGTGTTGTAGTCATTTTTGTAATGTTTTTGTAATTGTTTTGTTGTTGTTTTATTGTTTTGTTGTTCTTTTTTTGCCTCTTTGCCTCTGGGATATACAGTATATGGTATAAATTTGTAAATCAACGGTTTTTTAATAGATTTCTGTTTGATAAACTGTTTTATTGTTGTTTATAGATTAGATATTGATAATCCTTGTAATATCTTGTGATTAAATTCTTGTTTTAAACGTTGTCTTGTTGTCTTGTTTTGGTGTAACAAGGGATTCATTTTTTAAAAATTGGTTCTTTTTTTTGCACTTTTTTTTCTTTGTTGTCTTTTTCAAAATTTCATTTTGATTTTTTGATTTTGATAAGGAAATGGAATGGAAATGGAGATGACTGGATTGGAAATGGGGCGATGGTTAATGACTGTTATGACTGTTACATAGTTTATTGTGTATATATTATATTGTACTAGTTGATACCTATTTACTCCAATTTAAACCAAGTTCATACGATCGATATTGACATAGTTACTAATTCATCTATAACCAAGATATAATAAGTAGAAATACACTAGTTAATACATGACGTGTATATTAAATTATTATATATCTTATTATTACCATATATTATTTTATTATTTGTATCTCTTGATTTTTCATTTATTGTTTCATGTTTCATTTGATCATTTGCTTCTACATTGCTGATTATGTCAAAGGTGGGTAATCATGATCATGACAGCTGATTAATTAGTACTTAGTAGTAGTAGTTCGAGTAATAGAATAAGTACATATAGAATTGAATATAAGTTGTTGATACAATACAATGTCTATACTTCAATCATCCAATCACAAACAAAACATTCATATTGACCATTAAACGAAGAACCGTTAAAATAATAACCATGTGAAATTTGAATATACTATACGATTATTCTTATATTACATAAGCATTATATAATCATCACATAAGCCACATGCATCTCTAATTATATTACAAACATGAAAATACTTGATTAAATATGAGTAAAATTGAAATTAAAGTATCTTATATATCAAATGAAGCATAAATTATCATATGGTAATGTTTAAACTTATAAATAACCCCAAAACCAGCGAAAGCGCAAATATCCGGGAATGTCCCAGTCTGAAAAACACGCCAATTTCTTGTCTCAACAAAAGGAGGGTTGGCCGAGTGGTCTAAGGCGGTAGACTTAAGATCTACTGGACGATTGTCCGCGCGAGTTCGAACCTCGCATCCTTCATTATTATTTTTTTGCTATCATTTCGAATTTTAAGAGAAATTTTGATAGTAAGGAACCATTTTTTTTTCACACAATGAAGAAACTTAAGGTATACTGCTGTCATTTAACTATTTTTCCTTAAGCCATTATGGGTTTACTCATTGAATAATTTAATTTAGCTGAAGTAATTTTGTATAATTGTACTAAAAAACGCGTTCGTCGCGAATTTTTCTAGTATATGAAAATTGATTGTTTATTGTTTATTTAAAACATTCATTAAACAAAAGATATCAAATTATACATTTTCATTTATCAAGCTGACCCATTGTCATTAATTCAAGCTGCTGCAACTGCCTGGTGTATAATGTCGGATCATCAGAGTCCTCATGAGGAATATATATTGGAAAAGCTAGGCTCAAATTTAGAAGCTTATTCAAATAATCCAGTATTAAATAAATTAACACCAAGTAGAAGTCAATCATCATCTGGTATAAAGAAGAAGAGAAGAAGATCTTCAAGATCTGATACTGCAGATTCACATTTACACTCACATTCACAACCACAATCACAATCAAATTCAACAAGAGTAACTCCTAATTGGAATGTTTCATATCCAAGAAATACTGATTCAAATATTGTTACTTCACCTGTTAAATTAATTAATTCAAAGTATAATAATAAATCTTCAAATGATAATACAAATTATCAATTACAATCAAGTCAAAGATCAATAAGAAATCAAAATATTCATTCTTCAACTATTAAACAACCTTTAAAATCATCTACAAAAAAACCTTTAAGGAAAGGTACTCCATTAATTAAAAAGAAAAAAGATCATGACGATGATCAAGATGATCTAGATGATAATGATTTAACAGGAAGTCCCAAAGATAAAAATCATTCAAGAAAACTTCAAAAACCCTCCAATATACCAAAATTAAATTCAAGATTAACAAATCATTCAATTAATTTAAATAATCCAAACATTTCAAACATGTCAACTATATCAAATAGTCGAATACATTATAGTTTATCAACAAAAGATGATCATGATTATAATGAACTTGATGACGATTTTGATGATTCACATTTGAAAAGTGATAATACTTTACAAAGCGCTATACCAAGTGATATAGAAAGTCCTGAAAAACATTTTTATCCAAATGAAAATCTGAAAAAATCTTCATCAACTATATCATCAGTTAAAATATTAAAATCAAATAATTCACAAAGTTTTAATAATAGTTTATTAACATCACCTTCTAAAAACTTATCGAGGACTAATCATGGAATTTCAACTAAATTTCCCAAGAATATTTCTTCATCTTTGATTAAAAATACTTCAAATGAAGTTGATGAATATGATGAAGAAGAACATGATCATGAACAATTAGAATCTAATCCATTACATTTCAACACAACATTAACTAAATTTATAAATCCAAAACCTAATGATTCATTACTTTCAACTATTGAAAAGGAAAGAATTGCATATGAAGAAAGAAGAAAATCAAGACAAACTAGTAAATCTCCACAAAATAAATTAATTTCTGTTAATAATAACATTATTGATAATATTATTGCCAACAGCAACAACAATAACAATGATAATAATAATAATAATAATAATAATAATAATAATAATAATAATAATAACAATAATAATAATGACATCACCACAACTACTACTAATAAAGAACTTTATAATCAATTTGATCTTTCAAGATTTGATTCAAGTGATGAAGATATATCACCACCTCAATTAACAGTTTCATTATCAAATGAACCTTTAAATAATCATTTGAAAACTCTCAATATAGAGAAAGAAACCATTGGGAACATTGGGAAATCAAATTCACTATATCCAAATTTATCAAAATCACCAATAATTCAAAATAGAAAACATGTTTCACCTAAACCTTTAGAACTTAAGACTTCTTTATATCCAATATTACCATCAATTAATAGGAATGGTTTGAATAATACAGGTAAGAAAGGAAAAAATGATGATAATGACAATATAGATGATAATAATAATAATTTAATACGAAATGATAAAACTCAAAAAATAAATGAAAGTTTTTCAAATGTTATTAATGAAGTTTCAAATAATATTAATAAAAATAAAGATGTTGTTGATAACACAAGAAATTTCCAATCAAGTACACCAAAAAGATATAACCTTAGATCTAATTCCAAAACTCCAATTCAAATTTCCAAAACATCAAAAAATCCACAAAATTCTTCAAATCCAAAAGATCCAAAAGATCCAAAAGATTCAGAAGACTGGAACTATAATCAATGGAAGGCATTCATCCAAGCATTTGTCAAATATGAATCTACAAAAGATTTATCAATTTTTTATAAAGAACGATTATTAAATTATCTTAATTGTGATAAAGAAGGAATAAAAGATCGAATCAAGTTTTTTATAAAACATGGTGATGAATATAGGATTTAAAAGAAAACTTGAAGATCAAGAAAAACTGTTTTTTATATATTTATATAACTATTTAATGAATTATGTGTATTATTATTATGAATTTTTGACCTAATTGTAGATACCCGCGAATTCATATTATATATTTTGATGGGGAAGTGATTAAGAAAAAAAATTAAAAGCGTAGTGAAATTAACTATGTATGCAAATTTTAAAGCTATATACAAGCAGAGAACAAGCTAACTTACTTTAAAACATCATAGCTAAAGTAAAACAATACTCTATAAGATAACCTCAAAACAAATAATCATCATGAATAGTAGTCAAGATTCAATTCAAAATCAACCACCATTGAAAAAACAAAAACAAAATCCATCATCACAACAATCTATATCAAAAGAAGAACAATTTCAATTTTCTCAAGTATTTAATTCTTCATCAACAAATTCATCAACATCAGAACAAGAATATAAATCAATAATTATTAAAAAAGGTGATAAAATTCAAAAAAAAATTTCTAAATTATTAAAAATTTTAATTGAAGAAAAAAATTCAATAATTTTAATGAGTTCAGGTGAAAATTTACAAAAATTATCATCAATTATTGAAATTTTAAAATTAAAATTAAGAGAATTTTATAATACAAATGAAGGTATAGATTTTAAATTTGAACAATTTAATAAATTAGATTTTTATGAAACTTCAACTAAAAAAAATGAAATTTTAGATAAAACTTTAAAAGTTCCTGTTTTATATACAATGATTCGTTCTATAAATCCTAATCAAGATGGATTTAATGATTGGACTAGACAATTGGTGTGATTTGGGTTTGAAAGGGTTTTGAAGATTTGAAATTCTAGTGTGCCTCTGCTTTTCTTGAGAGGTCTAAAAATTGAGATGATTTATTTGAGCGGGATTTAAAAGTTAATGAAGTGAATTTTTAAGGAATAAATTGAGAATAATAAATTATTTAATTTATAATGAAAAGAAAGGGACTCCAGGTTTTCTTTTTAAAAAAGCTTTACCCATTTTAAAGATATTTCTTTCCCTAATTTATACTTTATCAAGATTTAAAGATCAACAAACAACACACACACACAATGACTATTACTAATGATACATCATATGATCAATTTTTAAGTAAATTGAATTTACCACCAGAAACTGAAAAACATATATCAAATTTTATATTTGTTATACCCATGGTTATTGTATTTGGACTTTTTGCAATAATTTCATTATATGGATGCTATTTAGTATTATTATATATGATTTATGGACCTGAAAATTTGAAAAAGAGTTATATGAAACAAGATGATATTGAATCACAATTACCTAAACAGGAGACTTTGGAGGACAAAGTTAGGAAATTACAAGCTAAAAGGTCACAAATTAAAGCTGATGAAGCTATAAGATATCCAGAACCAGCATTAAGTGATGATAATACTTTAGTTGTTGAAAATGGAAGTCAAAGTGATCAAAGTGAACATCAAAGTGATGATCAAAGTAATGATACAATGGTTGAATTACCATCTCAACAAGACCCAACAATTGAATATGGGATTTTAAAAGTTTGGTGGTGTTTCCAAAGAGAGAATAGATGGATGGTTTTAACTAAAAATGGATGGAAAAGGATATGGAAAAGGACGAAAATAATTGGTATATCTACATGGGACTTGATTAGATCTCTTCCCAAACCTTTTTATGGATACTTTACCAGATAAAATGTATAAATATTGAGTATAAATAAATAAATCGATGAGTATAAAAGATATTGTATTACGTAACGTTGGTCCAACAGAGAAGGAATGTGTCCTCTACCGCATCCGCCCAACACATGTCAAAAAGAAAATTGAATTTGAAACCAGCATTTCAATTTTATTTAAAGAGAAGCGAAACACATCTCAGACAGAAAAGATCATGGAATAAAGAGAAAGACAAAGTAAACAAGATATAAACAACATACTAAAGAGCTCATCAAAGTTCATCAGCTATTACTAATTTTGCTACTCATTCAATACCCTCACTGTCCTCCCGAAAGCAAAAGGTGTCACATCTTATCGGGAAAAGCGAGGTATTAATTACTACGTATTACCAACAAATTGCAATATAAATCATGTCTTTCTTATTCAACTGGATGGATTTGAAGATATTGGATTTGAAAACTTCAATAAATTCATTATTATCTTCTATTCAAACAAATGAAACCAATGATCAATCTAATGAATCCAATGAAATACCTAAAAATTTATCAATTTCTTCATTATCAATAGGTAAAACTCCACCAATTTTTGAATTATTAGAAATTATTGATTTGAAAAAAGATAAATTTAAAGGTTTATTCAAATTCTTATACAATGGTGAATTAAATATTACATTCAAGACAGATTATGAAGCAAATTCAATAAAATTAATTCAATTTGATGATTTTACAAAACCAAATTTTATACTTGTTGATAAATCTTCAATATTACCTGTTGAATTTAAGATTAAAAATTTAAAAATTGATTCTTTTTTAACAGTGGTTTATAATCTTGATAAAATTACAATTGTTTTCAATGATGATCCTTTTATTGATTTAGATTTTGAAACTTCATTAGATGAATTTTTAGATGATGAATTATTTAAAATTTTAAAAAATGATGTATTAAATCTAATAACTGAAGGTTTAAAGCATGATTTACCAGAATTATTACGTTCTTATATTCCAAATGAAGATTTAGATAATGCTAAAATAGATACAATAATTGAAAATAATCAACATATTGGTGATCATGAAATAGAAGATAAAGAAGAAGTTTTAAATACAACAAGTTGTTTCAAATTACAAGAACATGGGTTTGATACACTTTCGTTAGCACCACAAGGTTTCAAAGATGTCATTCAACGTATTGCCTTATCACATATTGAATATCAAAACATGGAAGTTAATCAATCTCATGATAATGACTTGAGTTTTAAGAAAAGAAGAAGAATCAAGATGAAATCTAAAAAACATACAAAACATCAAATTTCACAATCTTCAACATTAACTCCAGAGATTCATATTGATCAAACTAATCAATCATCATCATTATTAGAATCTGAATCTGAATTCTCAACAACATTAATTGATTCATCATTCACTTCAACAAATTCATTAAATGATTATCTTACTGAAGAAACTTTGAAATCAAATTCTCCAATTTTGGAAAAGTTAGATCCATATGAATCTTTAACTCATCCAATGGATTTATTACCAAATTATTCAAATTTAAAAGATATTGATACATATGCATTGAGTATTGATAAGTTTTATAAAAGTGATAAAAAGGGTAGACCTTCTTCAAATTATATTAATTTAAATAATGATTATAAAGAGTTTATGAATAATAATCAACAAAATCAACAAGATGAGGATGATGATGATGAAGTTTTTTATGATTTTGATTAGAAATTATTAATGGGAAATTGGGTAAATAAAGGAAATAGTAACAAGGAAAAACGGATAATTACAATGTAACAACTTATTCAATGAAATTAATGTATTATATATTAAAAAATTTGATCAAAATCTCTGTAGTTTTATTTAAAATGCTTTGTAATATTAACAGAGCGCTTAGTTATATCTTAATCCAACATTATAATATCATCATCATTGTTTTCATTTGAATTTAAATGATCAAAATTATCAAAATCTAAATCATTAAAATTTGAATCTCCTAAATTATCAATCATATTATTATTCGATAAATCATATTCATTTGATTGTTGTTGATCTTGTGGGTCCTGTTGTTGGTCTTGTTGAGGATTTGGCTTTTGTTCATTTTGTACATTCTCTGTTGATTCTTGTTTGACTTCAATTTGTGGTGTTTGATCAGATTTATTTTCTTCTTTAATATCAATTGATTTAGATTCATCTTCTTTTTTAATTGATTCTTCTTGATTCTTTTGGTCATCATTAGATTCAGTCTTGATTTCTACACTCTCTTTTTCCTTTTCTTCATCTTTTCCATCTTCTTTATCATCTTTTTCATCATCATCATCCTTTTCTTCCTCTTCTTCTTCCTCCTCTTCTTCTTCCTCTTCTTCAAATTTTGTACTATTCAATACATTATCCAAAACTTTATTAATCTTTTCACTTATACCAATAGTTGGATCCTCAACTTCTCTTGATTCAGGTAATTGACCCAAGATCCAACTTTCTTTTAAAGTTCTTGATACTGATAATAATTCTTCAATTAATCGTATTATTGTTTGAGCATTTGATTCAATTTGAAGCATTTCTGATGCTTGAACTTCTTGAGAACTTGTAGAAGCCTGTATTGTATTAGTATGACTGAGTGAATATTGAATGAGTAAATATATATGCCTTGCTTAAACTTACAGAAAGGGCTATTATGTTTGTGAATCTTGATATAAGGAATTCTGTATTGGTATCAACTTTCTCTATAATAATTGTATTAGTTCTAGTTCAATTAGACTCAATGAAAAGTAACAACAAAGCCAACAAAAAACAACAAAAACATACTTATGAATGATTCTGACTTCTTTTGGTTCATCTTTACTGAATATATTTTCTTCTTTTCTTCTTCAATGCTTTCTTCAAATGTTCAATATCTGATTTGTTTTGTTAATGTTTTCCAAGGCCAAATTGATTTTTTCAAAACATCGGCTTTTGTGCGCTTAAATTTATATACCATTTGATACCCATTTTTAGATAAAAACTAAAAGAAAATTCAATTATTCAAGCAAGTGCTTCACTTTTAACAGATTGAGATGAGCGGTTAAGTCATGTTGAACCTGAACCAACTTAGTCTACGGAGTGCCAACAGTTTGAACTCCAAAAGGTCAAAAGAGGACCATTGGACAACTTTAAAGTACTTATCTGCTGGTAATTTATCAACAGGATCTGATGAATGTCTAAATGGTAAAGATTGATACCCTTTTCATGTTTTGACTTTTGTTCGAGAGCATAGAGCTAACAACATTATTAAAAGAACGAAGCCAAGTTGCGTTGACACAACCAGATGTTGTTAAAGGTTATTTATGTCCAACTTCAGAATTTTTACAAAGCTCTATTGTTAAGTTTAGAAATGAAGTATCTAATAGTTTATTATCAGAAAGGAAATCAAATTTTTTAGTAATTGTTGGCCCAGAGTTTCTAGATAGTTTTCATCAGGCTAAAGCATGCTCACAATGGTTAAATAAAAGATCTGGAAATTTGATGAATTATACAACTAATAATAATTCTATATCAACTCATTCAAATTTCAAAGATTTACATGATAAAATAAAGAAATTATACACTAACAAGAACCATCTGAAAAATTTATCTTTGGTAATGAATGTTGATTTAACTAGTAATTATGAATCTGGTAATTCTTATATGTCAAGAGCTGTTTTCAATGGTGTTGTTGATTTAAGAATTTTATTGATAGAATTAGCTGAACAAATTCAATTATCTGGTGTGATTGATGATCCAATTTGTTTACAATATTATAATGATTTATTAGGAATAGCAACTCTAAGGTCAGAAAATATTGAATCTCAAGTTCATAGAGAGTTTATTAGTGGTATTCCATTCCCCATAGGGTTTAATTGTTTTAAATCATCAATTTATGGTTCAATTTCAAAAGAGATTCAAGAATATAAAATCCAAAAGGCTATTGATGCGATACATTCAGTTGCAGATCCACATTACTTTTTATCAGTTACAAACTTGGGTAACGTTGCAATAGCAAATTCAATGGGGAATAAAGATACGTTCCTTTTGATAAATATTCAACAAGATCAAGTTATTACCTTGGAACATTTGAAGGTTTTATTCGATGCTCCATTGAATCAATTAAATAATGTTAAGATAATACTTGATTTAGGTAAATTAAATGAATTAAATTATGATTCTATATGGAACTTATTAAAAGATTCTTTAACATCAGAAATTGGTGATTATATTGCTGGTGTTCAAATAGATTCAGGAAAGCAATATATACCTCAAAGTTGGGAATATGAAGAAAAAATCGAATCATCACCAAATAACAATGAAAATCAAGTTGAAGATGAAACTTTTGCAGTTCTTTCAGAAAATATCGGTATTAAAAGAAGTTCAATTAGAGGTAAAATTTTCAATACTTTTAAAAACTCTTATAGTAAGATATCTTCAGCATTTGACAATCAACCCACAAGGACAACCTATGGATACGAACATATGATCCTTGCAGATAAATTCATCACTCAATTAAATGAATTGATGAAATAAAATGAAGTTTTATAATATAAAAATGAAAATCCAATAGTGCGTGTACCATCTTTCCTCTTTATATAGTCGCGAATGTTTGTTTACTTTTCGGATCTGGTGTATAGGTAATTATTTAATATATCTAGCTGCAAGTTTCTTTCATAATATCAGCTCCATTCAAGATGTCACTGATTGATAGATCATCAAATTTTTCATTCTCTTCAATAACTCCAGTTATATCACCATGTGGGCAAAACATTGCATACATTAACGGATCAAAACTAGTTATAAGGAAAACTGAAACTTTATCTTTGGTTAGAGTAATTAAAATCAAATTGAAAAATAAAAGCCCTTTTATTAAAGTATCACAGATACAATGGGAACATGAATATAATGAAGTGTCAAATAAAATAGCTGTACTGATCGGCAATGAAAATATTATAAAAATCTATGATATATTGGATGAATCAGTTGATATAACAATAATAGAAGATGATGTATTTGGAATACAGAATTTCGAATGGCTACCACCAAGAGAAGATGAAACTGAAGAATCAGCATATGAAGGATCAAAACAAATCATTGTGTTCACAGAGGCAGAGATTTCGGCAAATATTTATTCTTTAGATTATTCTAGACCAATATTATCAATTGAGAAACCAAAATTTAATAAAATTTTACTCAAACCAAATTCAAATATTTTTTCAATTATAACTTTGACAAATAATCAAATTTATTCAATTAATTTGATAAATAAATCTTCATCTATTGAATTTTTCAATTCTGTTCAATTATCTTCTTTTTTAAATTTGACAGAATCAATTCAATGGTCACCAGATGGTCAATGGATTTTATGTAATGATGCTAGTATTGGAGGTATAAATATCCAGATATTTTCATTATTCAATGAATCATTATCCCAAAGAAAACCAATCTTCAAATTTATTGACGATTTCGATCCATTAGGCGCTATAGAGACTAAATGGGTAGATAATTCATCAATTTTAATAAGTGATCATTATGAACAAATTCATTATCTTGAATTTTCTACAGGTTTAGAAATTAGCTATACAATACGACATAGATCTAGTGTTGATAATACAATTGTTTGGAAACAAGATTTGACATTATCAAAATATCAAAAAAAGCAAAATTATTATAAAATTCCACAAATTAGTTCATTACCTTTAGTATCATCTGGTATTTTCAAATTTCTTATAAAGGATAATTATTTATTTTCAGTTACAAAATCAATGCCAAGTGCTGTATTTGTTTGGAGTTTATCAAATAAAGTTACAGAACCACTTGATGTTATTGTGACAAATAGTAAAGTTAAAGATATTCAATTATCAAAGAATAATCATTTATTAATAGTTAATGAAGATTCAATATCAATTTGGAATTCAACGTGGTCATCTCCTTTATCATTTCCTGCTATTATTGAAAATTCAGGATCTTTAGTTAAAGGTGCAACATTAACAGAATTATCAGAAGGTAATTCAAGTATTTTAATATGGTTTAATGATAATTTTAACGTTTTAAAATTGAAATTAGATTCTTCAAATGATTTTGATACTATTAGTATGGATACAGAACAATTTGATACGATTAGAAATGGAAGTCCAGCATTAATTGATGATTCAACAAATGTTGTTAAATTGGCAAGAGGTGTCCAACAAAGTGAATGGGGTCATAATAATACAGCATCCATTGAGGTTGAAGATACATTTATGAATAAAAGAAGGAAACCATTGCTCAAATGAATTCCAAAAATAAGAATATAAATTCATCATATATTTGATTATCATAATTCATGTATAATTGTGCCCGTGAAATCCTCATAATATATATTTCATCTATAAAGACCATCATCTAGACTTCTTTTATCATCTTCCAAATAGATCCCTCTATCAGCAGCTTCATCTAATATTCTAGCTCTTCTTATACTTTCTTCATGTGCAACTCTAGCTTCAAATGAAAGAACTTGCTTTTCAGCACACCAAACTGCACCACAACTTATCCAAGCAGCATTATAGAAGACCTTAACTGGTATTCTAACATGTCTAAATGTTGGACTTATAAGCATCAGTATTAAACTTGTAGAGCCACCTATCAAAGCACCTCTAAAAGCACCAATAGAACCAGATTTCCAAAGCTAGAAAAGAATACTGTTAGCAAATGATATATTTATGATCCAATGTGATCTAATCAACTTACTTCACCATTTAGTTCTTCCACTCTTTTGGGATCATGATGTAAAGGTTTTACTCCCGCCATTTCTTTAAGAATATTTAAGTTATAATCAATCAGTTGATCTTGGATCCAAGATGAGATACGCAGCTTCAAAGTTATACACCAAACTTCAAACATAGTAGTTACTTCCGATTGATTCAAAGGCCGGTAAAATATTAACGACCCGAATGCGGTGACAGAGAAATCTCAGTTTTTTAGCGTAAGAGAATAAATCAATTGTAAGAGACAGTTGAATTGAGCATGTCAACTGGATACAAGAAATTATTATCAGATCAGGGAAATATCTAAACGATAACCAATAACGTGAATATATCACTATACTTGAATTGGTACAAAAATGATCAATAATTATTGGGAAACCCAAACTTGGATTAGTCTGTTAGCCAGTGTTTGGTAACGGAAGATGTCATAATTGGAGAATCGAATGAGCTGTTCAATCCCAACAACTGTTTACGATCGAACGATTCATAAGAAAGCCACTGCATATGATACCACTTTGAAAGCTACCATCTATTAATCCAGGTGTCTTTAACTCGCTTCTACAGACGAAAATGGTGAAGTTGTGGCACCGCGGAAGCCACAATGGTGATATGAGGAATCTAAGATGATAAATCAAAATTAATCTGCAGATGCTGAAAAAGTCTTAAATACAGGAAATTATCTCGATGAGGTGTGATAAGAATTATGTCTTTGGTTTAGTATCAATCAACAACTTGCTTAAACTGATACAAAATGACAGCTTCAGAACCAGCTACTAAGAAGCAAAAAGTTCAAAAAGAACGTACTCCATTAATTCTAAACTTCTTTGAAGCATTGACCCCAGTTTTACATGCACCAGGTCAATGGAGAAATGAAAGGGATCAATCAAGAAACTATTACAAACCTGAGTATTGGGTCAAATTAGCTCAATTAGCTGAACGTGGTAAATTACACGGGTTATTTATTGGTGATTCTCTTTCCTATTATGGTGGTTATCAATCTAAAGATTTAGGAGGACCTTTCAACTTTGCAGCCCCTGCTATCTCAGGTAATAATTTTCCAAAGAATGATCCAACTGCTTATTTAGCTGCTATCGCCATTTCTACAAAGAATGTCTCTGTTGGGTTAACCTGCTCAACTTTAACTGAACATCCATATCATTTTGCTAGAAGAATTGCAACTTTAGATCATATCTCAGGTGGTAGAGTTGGATGGAACGTTGTCACATCATTGTTACCAACTGCTGGTAAACAATTAGCCGATGATAACCAATTACCAGAAAAAACTACAAGATATGAAAAAACTGATGAATATTTACAAGTTTTTTATGAATTATTATTATCTTCATGGAGAGATGATGCTTTAGTTTTTGACAGAGAAAATGGAGTCTTTTCAGATCCAGAGGGTATAAGAGAAATCAATTTTGATGGTAAATACTTTAGAGTTCCAGGTCCTCAAATTACAGAACCTTCACCACAAAGAATCCCATTGATTATTCAAGCTGGGTCTTCTCCAAAAGGTCAATTATTAGGTGCCAAACATGGTGAAGTTATCTTTTTGGGTGGTGAAACACCTGAAGATGTCAAGGAAAAAATTGAATTAACCAAAAACTTAGCCAAAGAAAACTACGGTAGAAATCCAGATCATTTAAAATTTGTTACAATGTTGAGAGTTGTTGTTGGTAAAACCCATGAAGAAGCTGTTAAAAAACATGAAGAGATCGAAAAATATAAAGATTTAGATGGTACCTTAGTGCAACTTGGAGGTGGTGGTTTAGATCTTTCAAGATGGGATTGGGATGAAGATTTAACACAAGTTGATGATCCAGCAGTTAAAGGTCTTGCTTTAGGTTTCAAAAAGAAGAAATTTTACAAAGGCGAAACTGTTACTAGAAGATATGTTGCTGAAAATTTCTTCCATAGTAATTATTTCATTGGTACACCTGAAGAGATCGCAGATGAAATTGAAGATTATGTTGATAGATCAGGTATCTCAGGTTTCAACTTGTCCAACATTGTCTTCCCAGAAACTTTTGAAGATATTGTTGATCTTTTGATTCCAGAACTTCAAAAAAGAGGACTAGCTCAGAAAGAATATGCTGTTGAAGGTGGTACTTTTAGAGAGCAAGTTTACAGAGAGAAAGGGCACTCTTTTGTTCCAGAAGATCATTATGCTTATGGATTGAGATGGAAAGCTGGTGTTACCAAAGAACAATTCGAAAAAGATTTGAAAGAATTGAAAGAAAAGCAACAAGAACAAAAAATCTATGCTGATTAATATCGGTATTTGAATTATGTTAAGCTTTACAATACAATCTATTAGTCTAGACGATTACAAATGTAGTACCAAAATTTCATTAATATAATATTAAACCTAATCTACTGTGACCCACATAATGCAAATGGAAATTGTAATCCAAATAAATAAAAACGCCATAAAAAATATAAAAAACCCTTTGATGCACTAATCAACGAGAAACTTCACACCGAATTTGAAATGCCCTTGAAATTAATAATGAATGATTTCACTATTTAATTGTAATATGAAAATGAAAGATGTAAAAGCTTGAGTCATCTTAAAGTTTATCTGAACTCGTTCAACAGATTCTTTGTTTTAAAACTATGCAAAGGACTATTATGAGGACTGAAATTATTAGAAACCTTTGGATGTTCACGGAATTCATCATTTAGCCAACTAACCTCTTCTCTGAAATATTCCACAACTGATTCTAATTTGTTGTTTGAATCTTCATTATGTTTCTTTAATTTTGCTTCCCAGTTGTTATTAATCAATAATAATAATGCAGCATTGTTGGCAGAGTTTGGTCCTTTTATGAACTCTTTTAAACATATACACCAGGTATGTGAGAGTTGTTCATATGCTAATTCTTTGAAATAATTATTGGATAATTTTGCGAAATTTGGAAGTTTATGTAACAAATTGGTGGCACTATCTAAGAATTCCAATGAATTTGAAGGTTGAGTTTCAACAGGTGGTAAGAAATGTAATGTATAATCAGATAAAGCACTCAAAAAATCATCAATTAATGGTTTGACTCTTAAAAATGCATACTCTGATGAAGCATCTACCTTGTAGGGTAAATCATTCAAAATGTTATCAACTTTGTTGGCTAAAATATCAACAGCACCGGATACTGTTGGTTTTGGAGCACAATGATACAAATCTTGTGTGATTTCTGGGTGAAGATTAACCAAGTTGGTTAGTAAATGCTGAAGATTCTTCTTATCTAAAACTTCAATAATTCTATCAGTTGGTAATGGTTGACCGACGATTCTTGGAACTCTTGAGCGCTTATGTGAAATTTCCTTCTTAGCCACACGGAATTTATCTGATTTCTTATGTATGACTTTTCTTGGTGTACTAGTATTACTATCTTGATCGTCTTCTGTGTGTTTTCTTTTGCTTTTCAATGAAGCGCCAGATTGTAAACTTGCAAGGGCTTCTTGATTAATTCTTTCACTAGTAAAATTATCAATTGAACGTTGTTGATTGTTTGTTTTAGAGAATTGATCATTGGTGTTATCTTCAATTTTAGGATCAAATCCCCATGAAAATGAAGAAGGTAGCACTGAACTCATTCTTTAAATGACTATTATAAAGATAATTTGATTTCAAATGATGTGTGTTTTCCTGTATTGGATGTTGACTCTTTAGGGATAGCGGCGGAATGCAAAAGACTTTTGAAATCTTGAATGTGATATTGGATATGAATAATTATGAATAAATTTGGGTAGAAAGTAAACAGATAATAGCAAAATGTCAACTTAGACTTCAAACTGATCCCTATTACTCTTGTTGTCTTGTAAAGTAAAAATTGTGCGACAACTCATTTCGAAATTTTCTTTTGTAATTATTAGAATTCAGAAAAAGCAAAATATTGCGCGAAAATGTTTATTGATTATATAATCGGCATCAGTATTATTATATAAGCAAGTGCAGAAAATAAAAAACAACAAAATTTTCAAATTAAATTCTGTTCCTCGTGGCCCAATGGTCACGGCGTCTGGCTACGAATTAATAAGTAGTTACTTCTGAAACCAGAAGATTCCAGGTTCGACTCCTGGCGGGGAAGAATTTTTTGATTTTTTGCTCTAAATCTGCTTTTTTTTGCTTTAGCTACTTATTTAACGTACTGATGATAACCGACCAAGAAGATAACATATAGGCTAGTACTTTTTTTTTTGAGTTTACCAGATCTAAGGTGATTTAGACAAGCATGCAATACGCGTACGACGACCGAAGCTAGATGTAATTACCGCGCGTCGCCATGTTTATATACCCGCGAGATAAGGTAATATGATCCACTTATAGTATATATAGCAAGCTATCGCTGATCATATTAATTAAAAGTAAATTACTGAAGTTCTTAGCATACATGCGAATTATTTTACATTGTAGAAGGATATTTAAAAACTGATAGAGTGAAATTGAAATTGAGTTTATATATAGTGCATAAAAATACAAAAAAGAGTTCATTATAACTGGGTGAGTAACATCTTTAATCATTTACTCTTGTCAACTAAAGCTTGAACTTTTTCTTCTAAAGATTTGATTCTTTCATCTTTGTCCAAATTTGCAGCAATTAATCTTTCAACTATTTGCTCCAAGTTTTCAGCAACACCATGTATTTTTTCAATTGATTGTTTTAAAGTCAATGGTTTACTTGCAGTAGAACTTGATGATTCTTCAGATTTCTTTGGTTCAGCCTCCTTTGGTGTAGTATCTAATTTAGATGAAGCTTCTTCCTTGACTGGAGCTGCAGGCTCAGCAGATTTTGCTTCGACTTTTGGTTCAGCTTTTGGTTCAGCTTTAGTTTCAGATTTTGGTTCAGATTTAGCTTCAATTTTAGTTTCAACCTTTGGTTCAACTTTTTGTTCTTCTTTAGGAGCTGGTTTTGAAGTTTCAACTTTCTTTTCTGGTAAAGTAGATTTTGGTTTTTTATCTTCTTCGTCCCATTCGGTATTATCATCGTCATCTTTTTTATCTGGTTCATCATCTAACGCAACTGCCTTCTTTAGAAGAGCGTCAACATCTTTATCTTTTGAGAGATCGGTGAGATCACCCTTTGGTGATGATCTTGATGATTGTTCAGCTTTAGGTTCTGGTGATTTCTTGATTTCTTTTGGTTCTTCCTTCTTTGGTTCCTCTTTCTTTGGTTCTTCCTTTTTTGGTTCCTCTTTCTTTGGCTCTTCTTTCTTTGAAGGAGCAGCAGCTTCAGCAGCTTTAAAAGAAGGTTCAGTACCATTGTATAATGACTCAACAGAAAATAACACTGGACCATCGACTGATTTACCATCGAACCATTCGACAGCAGATAAAGCTGGTTTTGACGATGGAGCATCTGGATAAATATCATCTTGGAAAGTATCAGATTTTCTTGGAACAATGAAAGAAACTGGTTCAATGATTTGATCATTAACTGTTTTATAGATTCTAACAACTTCGTTATCGGCAACATTAACAGTTCTTTTTGGAGCAAATGCAAGACCTCTTTGTGGTTCAATTGATTGATATTCAGATAGAGGGAATAATTCATCATCTTGGAATTCATAATAACGGATATTACCATCACCTTTACCACCAACATATAAGATTTTGTTTGAATCATCATAGAATGGAATCATAATACCAGCTGAGGAATCAAGAGTATAGAAACCACCTATTGGACCAGCTTCGATATTTGTGGCATCCCAGACACCCAATTGACGATCAGATAATTTTGAGAAACCAGTAGTACCAATACGATCTGAGTTACCTAACCAGACAGCTCTTGAGTTTTTAGCACCTGTATGACCTGGACCTTCACTGATTATTTTGTTTGATCTAATATCCCAAACACGTAATTTACGATCACGAGAGGTAGTAGCTAATAAGTTACCATTGTAATTAAAAGAAAATGAAGTAACCAAATCTTTATGTTGTAATGTAACATTATCTTTACCACTTTCAATATCCCATAATTTAACTGAATAATCACCAGATGAGGAGGCAGCAACATTTTCAGCTACAGGATGAAATTGAACATGACCAATTTTTCTTTTGTGACCACTGTATAATGCCACTGGTGAGATATCTTTGACTTCATCTTTTTCATCAGTGTAATTATGAAATGAATAATCATCAGGAATTTTCCACACACCAAGTTTAGCATCATCAGAACCGGAAATAATAATGTTATCATTGAACGGATTGAAATCAGTATCCAAGACTGCTGCAGTATGACCTCTGAATAAAGGAACTTTATCAGGTGCTTTACCAACTTCATTGACTGGAATAACACCAAAAGCACCACCACCGGATGAGTTCCAGTTAACAGAAATGTATTTACCATTTGCCTAGTGAAAATTGTTAGAATTATCCAAACGCTAAATTTAGACACTTTCATCTAATCTACTCACTTTGATGATATTGGAGTCCCAGGCATTGGTTGTGACTCTCACATTATCATAACAGAGCTCTCTCTTAGCAGGTTGACCGTAAACATGACGGTATTTAGAGGCACGAACGAAGCGACCACTTTTGTGTGATTATGTTAGTACTTTGATCATTGAAAGACAAACAAGGGTGAGTTTTGATAATTAATCTTGCTACCAAAACTTCCTCGAGATACTTTGGGAACTTACCTCATAATTTTTTTCTTTTAGTATCAATTGACCGACGGAATGGGATTTTGTGAAGTGAAGTGACAGTTTGGGTTATGTTACACGTCAATTGTGATCGTTCGACCTACATGTTTACTCCTCGATCAAGTTGATAATTTCAATTTGACAAGTTTCGAGGGTGTCTGTTCCGAGACACACAACTCTCTGTTAAAAGAGCCCACTTTCATTGAGCTTGAGCTAAAGTGATTGATTTGTTCGAGCCTGATGATTCTGTGATATATATATAAGAGACAAATAAGGTATGACTAGCTCAATCTGTAAATTGTGATGCATTGCTATTTGTAATTACTCGACCACTTAACACGTAAACGCGTCTACCCTCTAAAATTTCCCTGTCGCGACTTCTGTAGCTTTTTTTTTCTTTGGAAGCTCATCTCTATTAATTACTGCTAACAAAGAATAGATCAAAAGATATACAGCGTCTAAGCTAACTTTCATAGGACTGCTCGTCTGAAACAACCACTGTCATAAGTCTTTTCTTATAAGGCTATACCTGCATCAAAAAGAGTCTCTTTTCATTGGGTCGAGCTATTTATTCTATATTTTAGCGCCTTTTGATTTAGATTCCAATTTCCAACTACTATATATAAAAAATCACTATTGCAAATCTGAGTCTATAATACTCTTCATCAATTCATCTTCATTATTTTGATAGTCCAATAATATACATGACTTGTGATTGCAATGTCAACAGCAAGTTCTCATACATCTTCCAATAGTTCGTTACCTGATGATCCTGAATTTCAAGATTTGGTTAGAATAATTAAGGAATCACACAAAAATTCTACAGATGATGCTTTACAACAAGATGCACTACAGAGATCTATGACATATATCCATAATCATGCTGAAGAAAAACATTTGTTTTGTGATAAGTTAATGTTTCATCCAGCCATACATGCTCTTATATTGTTTTCATTTCCAGAGAATGATGCTTTGACTTGGTACAAAGAGAAAATTGCACATAGTTTAAATACTTGTTCCAAATGTATAATGTTATTTCATAGAGGAAGAGCCAAACTTAAACTTACATTTGCAATTGAACGTGGTATTGATGCATCAAGTGTTCAAGAATTTACTTCAATTATACTACGTTGGGAAGCACAGAGGTTATTAGACCGCCTCAAACCAGAATGGGATCAATATATATTTGATAGACAAGTAAATACAACCAAAGATGTTCCAAGAGGTGTTCTTTTTGGATTTGCAGAATTTTTGTATGCACCAGGGATACTGAGACAAAATGCAGAAGTCAAAGCTCTATTCAATGATATATTTAATTTTTTACAATCAATCAATCATAAATTCATAGCAACTGCACCAGCAATAACCCCTGGTATGATTTATCTACTTTTTGATGGTGATAGTGAACAGAGAGAATGGGCAATGAAACATGTTGAAAATTTATACAATCCAAATACATCTATAAGGTATACATCAGCACCGTCAGATATATTAGAGGAATTTTCAGTCCATTTTTTGAACATTCAAAGCCCCAAGTTTTTGAATGATGATACCTGTGAAACATTCTATAGAAATGTATACCCTATCATTAGACTTTATGATGAAAAAGTCATTGTTGAAAAGTTTAACATGCCTCAAGATATCGACTCTGTTAAACAAGTGTTAAACTATGAAGTTGTACCACTTTTGAGACTTTTACAAAACCATATAATGTCGTTCTATATTGAACCATTGCCACAAATTTTGAAGTTTTTCACACTCATACTACAGATTTTTGGGGAAAAATTTTGGAATCATACATCAACTTACACATTTCATAATTTTATTGAAACTATCACTGGATCTCAAAATTTTGTTGCAAGTTTTGAACATCTTTCAACTTCTCCCATTAATGTTGATGAAGAATCAACCCCACAAGATTTAATGGGATGGATAGATCCTTTCATCAAAACATTGGTTTCTTCCAAAAAGCAACAAGCTTTGAACAGATTATCATTAGATTTGATTTCACATATGGAAAATATGAATAAAATTTCATTAGACAATAAGGCTTTGATCTTCGTGAAGGCCTGTGAGCTGATAAGTGATGCATTGACTATTGATAAAAGACTATATTCTGCTGGGTTTGGTACTGATTTATTACTCAGAAGTGATTCCAGAGTTGTGATTGATCAAAAATTGATAAGATTCATTGATTATGCAACATGCAGAGCTATATTTTTCCCACCAAATGATAAGTTGAAAAATGCAGAAGTATCCAGAAAAGCTACCGAAGTTTTATGTAAAGCTTTAAAATTTGATTTATTATCATTTGCTCAAAATAGTTTTGATATTCACAATGGTGAAAAACCTTCAACTTTAACATTTTCCCCAGCTCTTTTCAAAGCTTTGTTGAATCAAAATCTTGCTGTTCAATTGGAACTTGCATTTCAGTTAATTTGCTCAATGGACACAGTATCTGGTATCATACCTTTGAAAGGACCACATGAGAAAGAAGTTAAACAAATATTAGAATTTTTGCAACAGTTTTTTACACGCTTTAGTGACATTGATGTCAAAAATACCAAAATGATTTTATCCAATCCAAAAAGTTTGAATGGTTATTGGTCTTGTGTGTTCTCTTCTGATTCTAATCTTTATCAGTCCGCTGTTGATATATTATATGAAACATTTGATGCATCTGGTAGATTGGAAGGTATTCATGATTTATTGGAAAATAATTTAGATGCCTGTATCAAAGCTATCAATTCAAATTTGACCAACTTGATTTTTATTAAATTTTACGAGCCTTGTCCAAGAGCTGTTAGGGTTTTAAAAGATGTGGTTGAAGCATTGAATGATAAGGTAACTGGTTTATTTAATGATTCATCAAAATTCAGTGATTCTACAAAAGACAGTTTAATCCATTTCTGGAATAGATGCTGGAATTTCTTGGATCTAATTTATGTGGAGACGTTACATTGGGCAAATAAGTATTCAGAAAACGAACTCGTGGAGTTCACAAGAGATACACTTGATTTATCACAAGCTCTTTTAGATTGTTTTAAAACAATTAAGGACATAGCAAGTAATAAAGACGGTAAACAGACAATCGTTGAAGTTACAAATACTTTCCCACATATGTTGGTTTGGTTAAGGTTAAGTGATCCTGGTTTATTAGCTTCTTGTGTTCGCTTGATTACTTCAACCGCTGATCTTGCAATGGAGCTTGAATTAGAACTTGATTCTACTGTGATCGTATTGCTAGCTAAATATGGTTCAAGGGCTAAAAAATTCAACAATAAGCTCACCAATCAACAATCTACAGAAATTATTGAAAAGGCTAAACAGTTCGATAAGAAATTGGTTGAAATAACCATTGAAGAATCTGAAAGTTATAGAAGACAAAAGGAAGCTAGTGAAGAGTCTCAAATTTCAAATGTTTCAAGTCGTGATAGCACACCAGCTGTTACTGCACGTCCAACTGATACATCAGCAAATCGTGCTAGAGGTCAATTGAAAATCACCAATTTTGGAAGTTTGTCCAAAGTTGCACCTTCTGCACCTGCTAAACCTCAATTACCAATGTCTGCTTTGGAAAAGGCAAGAAGAGAGATGAAATCTGGTCCACCAAGGGTAATTCATGAAGCTAGACCTTCAGGGTTTAATAGCAGAGCAAAACCTATTAGAACACCTAAAGCAGATGATAGTTCAGATGATGAATCTGAAACAGAAGATGCACACAGTTTGTTTAATTTGCCTCCAAGCAAGAAACAACCAGGTATTACAATTCTTGGTGATAAGAAAGCTAGTAACAGACCAAAGATGTCATCTAAGAAAGAACGTGAACTTGAAGAGCAAAATAGTAGAAAGAGATTGAACGTTGATTTGAAACCATTATACTCTAGTATTTTGAAATGGTCATACCAAAATGAGTCTGATTATCCAAGTGGAAGTAATGAAAATTATCCAATTGTTCCAGATAGATTTGCATCAGCCAATGATTATATCAAAAGTTATGAACCCCTTTTGTTTCTGGAATGCTGGCAAGCTATATTATCATCTAAAAAAAGAGAATCAGAGGTACCAATACCAGTTAATATTGCATCAAAGAGTGTTGTTGGTGAGTTTTATGAAGTGTTCTTAAATCTAACTAGAAATGAGATATCTGAAAAAGGTCTTTCAGATTCGGACCTTGTTGTTATTGCGCTACATGATACTTCAAGTATAAAAGATGTTAGAGCTTCTGATGTCGCAAACTCAAAGATAACTTGCTTGGCTAAAATTAATGATATCAAGTATGTTAAAGGTGACAGTGCTGATGTATCATTGAGAATTCATAGAAATGTACCACAAGTTGTTAATAATATGTTAAACCCACACTCTCCTATAATCATGATGAAAGTTATGCAAATGACTACAATTGAAAGAGAGTATTCTTCATTACATGGTCTAGCATACTACAATTTGTCAAGACAAATTTTACAAGCCACACCAGATACAAGTGCTATTGCTACTGACGATGAAATCGAAGAAGTCCAGAAAAATTACAAGGTCAATCGCTCACAAGCTAATGCCATTGCTTCTTCTATCAAGGCCCAAGGTTTCTTTTTGGTTCAAGGTCCTCCAGGTACTGGTAAAACAAAAACTATTCTTGGTATTATCAGTCACATGTTGTCAAATTATCGTGCTAATTCTAATGTCATTCAAACACCTAGTGTAATACCAGGGAAAACTTTAGCTGATTTCAAGAACAAAAAGGTTTTGATCTGTGCTCCAAGTAATGCCGCTGTGGATGAACTTGTCCTTCGTTTGAAAGACGGTATTCCAAATGCCAAAGGTGAAATCTACAATCCACAACTGGTTAGATTAGGTAGAAGTGACGCTATCAACACAGCAGTAAAGGATATGACATTGGAAGAGTTAGTGGATGCTAAATTAGGTAAAAACACAGCTACCAAATCAGATACAATTCCAGCATTATTGAAAGAATTATCAGAAGTTAAACATGAATTGGAGAAAAAAAGGGCTATACTTGCAGCTGGTAATAATAAAAACGAAGAAAAGGTTCGAGGTGAAATCAGAGATAACAAATTGAAACAGAATAAGATAAAGAAACAATTAGATGAAGAGAGAGAGGCTCAAACTTCTTCGAACCGTACTCGTGAAGTTAATAGACGGAACATTCAAGCTCAAATATTGAATGAAGCTGAAATTATTTGTTCTACATTATCTGGGGCGGCACATGATATGGTTGCTAATATTGGTATTAAGTTTGACTCTGTTGTTATTGATGAAGCCTGTCAATGTACAGAGCTTTCTGCTATTATACCACTCAGATATGGTTGCCAAAGGTGTATCATGGTTGGTGACCCAAATCAATTACCCCCAACTGTTCTTTCATCTGTTGCTGCAGAGTCCAAATATGATCAAAGTTTATTTGTGAGAATGACAAGTCATTCTAAACCTTTATTATTGGATGTTCAATATCGTATGCATTCTGATATAAGTAAATTTCCTTCAAAAAAATTTTATGATGGCCACTTACAAGATGGTCCTTCAATGGATGTGCTTACAAAGAGAGAGTGGCATAAAAATGTGTCATTTCCGCCATATAGGTTCTATGATATTGCAGAGGGTAAAGAATCTCAGAATTCTAAAACATTTTCTTACGTTAACAAAATGGAGATTAAGATTGCAATTGAGCTTATTGACACACTTTATACTAAGTTCGGTAGAATTGATTATAGAAATAAAATTGGTGTTATTACCCCGTACAAGGAGCAAAATAGAGCCATACAACAAGCATTTATAAGACACTTTGGTAATCAAATAAGAGGTGACATAACCTTCAACACAATTGATGGGTTTCAAGGTCAAGAAAAAGAAATCATTATAATGTCATGTGTGAGAGCAGATTCGAATAAATCAGGTGTTGGTTTTTTGAAGGATTTCAGACGTATGAATGTTGCTTTGACAAGATCTAAATGTTCCTTGTGGATTCTTGGTCATAATAATAGTTTGGTGAAAAATGACTTATGGTCTGATTTGATCACTGATGCTAAAGATAGAAATATGTTTGAGACTGTATATTACGGATTCACTAGTAATAGCAATAGATCTATTAAACCATCAACAGTTGCTGATAATCTAGAAGAAAATCCGCAGTCTTTCGGTCCTCAGAAAGTGCAACATGAAACTGATCATAAGCTGACTACTGAAGCTCTCAAACGGGGAAACTCTAGAAATGATCAAAATGATAAAAGACATAGGAATGATCACAATATACATAAACCGAAAATAGCAGAAAAATTCCCACAAGAGTTCATATCACCTTCATCATCATCGACTAGTGCTGCATTTTCAAAAGATACACCAAAAGGTCCTTCAAAAAGTGGAACTCTACCACCTAAACCGATGGCTAAGAAAAACCCAGTTTTTGGTGCAAATAATAAGAAGGTAGACCATACGAAGTCCCAAAAGGGGTCTAGCTATGATAATGGAGATCGTTATAATAGTTATAATAGTTATAATAGAGATAATAGAGATAACTTTGGCAATCCGAACAACAACAGAAACAACAATAATTTCAATGATTTCAATAACAATAATCAGAATCATGATTTTAGTCGTGGTAGGTTTAATGGATACAATAACAATCCATATCCAAAATCAGGAGGTTACCAAAGATCTACAACTCCCTCTAATAACCAAAATTCTTCACTACCATTACCATCCAGTACCAATAATGTTTTACCACCGCTAAATAATGACAATCAAGAGGGAAACAAAAGAAAACCAAATTCATCTATCTTTATTCAAAGTAACAAAAAAAGGAGACGTTAGTATAGCTACGAAATTCATAGACACACATTGTAAATATTTGCATTAGAATCGAATTATTAATATGTAGTATTAATCTGTATACCAGCTTTTACAATCAATTATTCAGCTAGATGAACGGATCCTTTAGTCTTTTTTTGATCCTTTATCTTTCAATTTTGAGCCAACTGCACGATTTTGACCCAAAAACTCACTTTTTAGTTGTGATTTAAATGACCCTGGGGTTGAAGAGAAGCTCCCAGATCTTATAGCAGGAATTGTATCAACTGTTGAATGACCAATAGCTTTTCCTGGAACATTAATCTTAGGTATAGATTTATTGTCAAAACCGGATGAATCAAGAGTATGTGCTAGTTTATGATTATTTGAGGCGTCAGTGTGGTCTTTTAGGTCACTCATAGATGAAGTATTTGGACTGGTAGCATTAGGATCTATCATATGAATGCCTTGCTTTAAAATTGAGATCTCATTTTCAACAAGTTTACGTAAAACATGATCCATTTGTTTCAAAGAAATTCGTCTTTCTGTTAAGTGATCAACTGATTTTGTTAAAAGCTCTAAAGCCTTAGAGCTCGTTTCAACAGACAAACCTTTGGTTTTTGATTGTTGATTCAATAAATTGGATATGTTGTCTTCCAATAAATTTAAGTCATTGGTGATATCTTGCCAAATAATGCTACCTTGATTCATATTTTCCCTTTTCTTAGAATAATCATCAATATGATCTTTGAAAGATTCAGATTGTCTGGCAACCACTTCAATAATCTGTGAGCTATCAATCGAAATTTTGCCAGCATCAGGTAATTTTGGTGCAAATTTTCCCAGATAGTACTTCATGCTGAAAATAGATTGATTCGTAAAATCATCATTCTCAATCATGTTTGACAATCCGCTTTCTATTGTCTTTTCCTTTGATATTGCGACTATTGCATCATTTTCTTCCTTTTGTAAATCTTGCAAGGTTTCAATATATGATGAAGCACGGCTTTCTATGATGCTCTGTGATTGTGTAATTTCATTTTTCAAGACCTTCTTTTTGTCTTTTAGCTGAAGTAATCTATTTTCAAGCTGTTGCATCTCATTATCAACAGATCTAGATTCATCCAATAGCTGATTTAGCCTTAATCCTTTACCAGATTCACTAGTTCTAATTTCTTCAATCTTGTGATTTAATAGTAATTTGTTATGTTCCCATCCTTTAAATGCCTTCAATATTAATTTTTTTCTGTTGAGCTCAACATTATATATTTCTATAATTGCATCATACACATTCCTCTTGGTATCCAAACAATTCAAGATATTTCTCCTTATTTTTTTAGAGCTCAATCCTTTTTTGGAAATATCATAATGGCTATCCACATTTTTCTGAAGTTGTGTCTCAATGTTTTGCTCTTGGGAGACAAGGTATGAAAGAGGATCATTATTCAAAGACCTTTGTTTTATGCTGGTGTCAAAAGGCTGTGAAATATATGAGTGTGAATTCAGTAAAGTGGTATTCTCAAGTGTAGGCTCAAATTCTTCATAATTGTCCAATGGGAGAGTGGAATATTTAGAGATAATAGGAACATCCGTGAGATCGTTAAAGCTCAGCTCATTGAATTCATTTGAAAGTGAATGATCGTCATTATCAGTAGCATATTGCATAATTGGGGGTTGTCCACTTATTGGGTTATTGTTTTTTGAAGTTTGAAAGTTGATACTATTGCCATCTGGTGTATTAGGCTCATAACTATCAGATATATAATCACCATTTATTTGAAACGAATTTTTTAGTGAATTCATATCTAAGTTATTTTCTGTAAAGTTTGATCTGATTGAATTATTTTGTGATACCAATAAAGTGCTTTCTTCATCATCTTCATCTTCATCTGCACTCACGGGCATGTTGGGTATGGCGTTTGCATCATTCGTGTGGTTTGATTGTCCTGATCTCTCACTCCTGCTCTTGAAAGATGACTTCACGTATGTGCTCATTGATAAAAAGTGCCTTTAATGAACCAACTATAGTTGAATTGGGCTGAAGAAGACCTGGAAAGCTGTCAAATTTATTGTAAATTGTGTTAATTGTTATCTGTGATTTCCGTTACACGCACACTTATCTGTATCATGTGACCTATAAGTGCGCCCACCAAAACGTATCATTTGGCTTCTTTTTGAAAATGAATGTTGACCTATTATTATTAACAGAAGTTTGGTAATTCAAGGTTGTTGAAAAGCTAAACTATCAAATTATCCGACCTTAAAGATAGAATTGATTCCATTTCAAAAGTGAAGGTATCAATTGAATCACTAAATCTAACCGGAGAGAAAGAACTTTTCACAAAAAGAAAACAGAAAGACAAATTTACAAGGGGGTTATAATTACTACAAAAATGTCAATATTCTATAGATCACCATTGGATCTTGAAATAAGGCTTGATTGCGAAGATTCACGTAAGCGTATAGATGTCAAGATATCACAAGATAAGAAAGATAAGTTGCCGTTGTATGAAGATGGTGAATCTATTAGTGGTGCTGTAACGGTTCGTGTTAAAGATGGTAAGAGAGTTGAACATACCGGTATCAAGGCTCAATTATTTGGATCAATTGAGATTGCTAATGGACAGAAAGATGACTTTTTATGTTTAAGTCATGACTTAGCTTCTGCTGCGGAGCTAACCCACAGTGAGACTTATAATTTCCACTTCAAAGACGTTGAAAAGAGATATGAAAGTTACAAGGGAAAAAACTTAAGTGTCAGCTATTATGTGAAGATATCGGTTTTAAGAAAGAGTGCTGATATAACAAAAGTGAAGAAATTTTGGGTTCATATATATTCAAACCCATCTGACTTGAAAAAATCAATCAAACTTGATATTGGTATTGAGAATTGTTTACACATTGAGTTTGAGTATTCAAAATCTACATATTCATTGAAAGATGTTCTCGTGGGAAGAATCTATTTCTTATTGACAAGACTGAAGATCAAACATATGGAAATCAGTCTCATAACTAGGGAAACTGTTGGTAATGTTCCTAATCAATTGACTGATTCAAGTACTATAAGATATGAAATCATGGATGGATCTCCAGTCAAAGGTGAAACTATTCCTATTCGTTTATTCTTGGGAGGTTATGATTTAACACCAACTACAAAGACTAATATGTTCAACGTGAAAAATTATTTAAGTTTGGTAATAATAGATGAAGATGGGAGAAGATATTTCAAACAATCAGAAGTTATTCTTTTCCGCGCAAAATGATCAAAACATATAAATATATAGATCTTCAAAATGACATTAATGATGAGTATAAGTTGAAAGTTAACCAAAAATTATAAATTGTGTGTTAGAACTTGTAGAGAACTTGATGTGCCAACGGTAAAGTTTGTAATATACTGACCGTAATTCCATAATGTGGGTACTTACTTCTGAATTCTAATAATAGCTGCATGACTTTACTGCAATCTCGCTTGATGGTTACTTAGCTTATAATTTGATTTTAAGATGAACAGTTGAATCTACATCCGCTTAGAATCTTTAGTACGTCATAAGGGAATATTTGGTTTTTCCATTTGGACATATTTTGGATATATCAGGACGTATATTATTAGCAAGCCACTGGAGAAATTCTTCGACACAAGAAATCCGGATTATCTCATGAATATGAAAATCAATGACGTTTGATTATAATACACCATGATTTTCCGGGATACTATCGCTTCTCAAAAAATACGTACGTCTTGGAGCTTGAAATTAGTAGTTTGATTATGGATACCGTAAAATACAACTTCGATATGCCAGTCAAATTCCTTATGGAGTCGAAACTATATCAGAGTCGATTTCTTAAGACCTATATCATTATTTTAAAGCCAGGTAGATTCTTGATTTGAAAGATTATATATACATCAGTTTATATATATTTTCTATACAAGGATCATGGATCTAAACTTCGGCAGTACTCCTAGTCAATTATCATTAGTGGGATATCTAGAATATATTGAATGAGATCTTAATTATAATAGAATTAATTATAATTTATCATGAAGTTGTATAGCTAGATAGATCTAGATATTATATATGATGTAGGCATGGGGTTAATCTTGGAAACGTGTATGTCGAACTCTAGATATAGCATCATTATAAGTCGACCAACTGTTGATTGGCGTACATGCTGTTCACCCTACTAATGAGAAACTATCGCTAACTAGCGAAAAGTAGTGTGCACTGTACAGCACTAATAATCTTAATATGAATTCAAGATTTCACCAGCTGAAGGTATAATTTCTTATATAATATTATATAGTCGAAGTAGAATGTGTACGGTATATTAATGGACGTATATTAATGCACTATCATCAGTTGAAAGAACACATAATTAGCTAGTAGCTACTTGATCGACAATATATGGAAACCCCTTGATCTGGTACGATTGATCTATTGTATCAATTAGGTAATTATTTATTTCACTTAGACGTAGGCGTCCGGGGTCATCTATATAATTTGTGAGCGATTGAATTGATAGTGCCTGAATCCTGAATATCATAAATCCTAATGGTAAATATATCGACAAATCAGTCCCACCATAAGCGTGCTATACGCACTTACCTTAGCTTATTATGAAATAGCCACTTGTTACTATTTAGCCCATAAGACGTAGCAATATTGTAGCGACGTACCGTGTACGCTTATTAGTTGATGCTTTTAGTAGTGTATAAGTAAGTACTTGATACTCATGATACTCACCGTATTATTTTTGTATCTAGTTGTGGATATATCATTTCATTTGTCCAATATTTCTTTACGGGGGACATACACCCCAGAATTTTGGAAAAAAAGTGCAGCACTTTTAAGCCTGCCTTAGAATTCGCTGGTCGCATATCTTGAATTTTGAATGTTCTTCAAATTGTGTATGACTTATAAATTACAACTTACACCTTAAGCACTGTGGGGCATGCTCAAAGCCCAGGGGCTTGGGCTGTCACCATGCAGACTCCAGAGTTCAAATTCCAAACACAATCAAATTACGTTCTTCGATTTTGTTGGGAAAATATACGTGAGCAAACTTTGAGGACACCCAGTCCCGCTTATAATTTAAAGCACTCTAGCTTCGACGTCGACGATAATAGATATATATCACGAGCTTACAATCAGCCTATATAAGCTAACTGTTATATAGCCAGCACCATCAAAGCTAGATCTATACCGGAGACATCCATTATAACATATCTCTTTTATCTGAACAGCACGCTTTCGTAATTTTAAGCTCTTTAACATATAGATTTCGACGTTTAAACTTCATATGATGAACCATGATTCATGAACCCCTAATCTGGCTGCTAGAGATTCCCAATACGTATGTCGGGTTATAATTTATGTTTTAATTAATAATATTCCGGATATCGATCAGATTTAGGGCTAGGCTTCACTCTTGGAAGTTACAGATATGGGGATATTTGATTATAATTTATTCAATCGATCAGCTATATTTGCTAGCTACGTAGCTAGTAGCTACTCAAGATACATGATCATATATTATACTAGATACGCGTTGTAATTATAATATTTTATATGAGGCTGATTGCAGCAGCATGTGATGAATCATAATATTAGCTAGTATATATCTCCCCTCCAAATGAACGCGCATACGTGCAGAACTCAGATCATATATAAGTTCAAATTATCTTTCATATACTAATTATTTTATTATTAAATATGGCTATACCTACGCTATATAGTATATACTATGCGCCAATATCTCACTAGTTAATAGTTATACACACCGCCTGTGTACGTCCGCATTGAAAGCTACAATTTGATCGTGTTTATATCCGCTCACGTACTTGTTAACTACGCGCGCGTACTGTGTTGAACCTAGTTCCATTATAAAGGTTACCTGCAGCAGCTCTATCTAGGGGATCTTGAATATTATTCCGTTAAGACAATAGCAGAGTTCTTAACTTTTTGATGTGGATTAATCCTTGTGCTCGACAGTGAAAAGGACTTGTTTGAACTTTCAAGTTTCAAGATCTAATTGCCCCAAGTTTTTCCGTAAAAGTAACTAGATCCTACCAAAGATTGGCAATTAAAGCAATATTCTCCGGGATCGCGGAAAAAAGCAATGTTTAGTCACGTCGACTCACTTGTCTGGAGAATTTTTCGACGTGCATAAAAATCTTAATTCGAAACACGGACAAATAGAATCAGGATTCAGATTTCAGGAAAAACTCTTGTGAAGTACAAGAAAACCAAGTAGAAAGCATCTCTTGAACGATAGAATAACTCTTAGCACCATTGAAATCAATCACTTGATCCAAAACCTAGGTATAGATATCTCGATAGATACTCTTCTACTTTATGACGAGTACACTCGTGACTCGCTTGTTCATATACATAAAACCATGGAGATCATATTTATAGACCTCCATCATTCTGCATGAAGAACCGGGACAAATATCCCCCAAACCTGGGGATTTTCATTTCTCCATGGACATTGAAAATTTAGCATGACGAATCATGATTTTCCTTCAGAATCCGAATGAAAATGGAAGTTCTTTGAAGTTTGAACTGAATTATACGTTAAAGCTCAAATTACTATAAAAAGCGGATAATCCTCTCTTTTTTACAGTCTGAACTCTACCCCAGATGAAGTATATATCTAAGCAAGCTTAAACAACATAATTCATCATGTCTAATGGGTTATTAACTGAAAAGACCGAAGATGGTCAATACTCTTTGACTTCAGATGTTCAAAGTAGATCACAACAAGATGTTCAATTAGATACAACACATGATAAAATCAATAAATTACAACTGGACCCAAACTTCAACTTCGACCAAGAGATTGAAGAAATTGAAATTCTAGCTGCTAACTATAAAGCTGATAGATCATGGTTCTCTAGAATGTGTTCATTAGAATATGAATTGAATTTCAAAAACAAAAACAATATGGTTTACTTATTGGGTTTCTTTGCTGCTGCCGCTGGTTTATTATCAGGGTTAGATCAATCTATTATCAGTGGTGCTCAAATAGGGATGAAACCTGCCTTGAATTTAACAAGTCATGAAGCTTCATTAGTCTCAAGTTTAATGCCTTTAGGTGCTATGGCTGGTAGTATGATTATTACTCCATTAAATGAATACTTCGGTAGAAGAATGTCAATTATTATCTCTTGTATCTGGTATACAATTGGTTCAGCTTTATGTGCAGGTGCTATCAATCACGAAATGATGTTCGCTGGTCGTTTCATGTTAGGTGTTGGTGTTGGTATTGAAGGTGGTTGTGTTGGTATTTATATTTCTGAATGTGTTCCTGCAAATGTCAGAGGTAACATTGTTGCCATGTATCAATTAAACATCGCTCTTGGTGAAGTTTTGGGTTATGCAGTTGCTGCGATCTTCTATGAAGTCAAAGGAGGTTGGAGATTTATGGTTGGTTCTTCATTAGTTTTCTCTACTGCTTTGTTAATTGGTCTTTTCTTCTTACCTGAATCACCAAGATATTTGGCACACAAAGGTAGATTAGGTGAAGCCTATGCCGTTTGGAAAAGATTAAGAGATGTCACTATCAAAGAAAATCAGTTAGAATTCTTAGAAGTCCGTCAAGCTGTTATTCAAGAACATGAAAGATCAAAAGAACAATCCACTTTGAAAACTTGGTTCGAATTATTTGCAATCCCAAGAAACAGAAGAGCCTTATTGTACTCATCTATTATGGTTACTTTAGGTCAAATGACAGGTGTTAATGCTATCATGTACTATATGAGTACTTTGATGGGTCAGATTGGTTTCTCTGAAAAAAATTCTGTTTTTATGTCACTAGTTGGTGGTGGTAGTTTGTTGATTGGTACAATTCCAGCTACAATCACTAAAAAAGGTAGGAGATTATGGAGTATGAATATTGTTGGTTTCTTTATTGGTCTAGTTTTAGTTGGTGCTGGTTACCAAATTGATGTCCAAACCAATAAATCAGCTGCTCTTGGTGTCTACATGACT